GAGGGGCAGAGGGAGAGAGAGAATCCCAAGCCAGCTCCATGCCCAGCATTGAGCCTGATGCGGGGCTTGATCTCATGACCTCGAGATCACAACTGGAGCTGAAATCAAGAGGCAGATGCCCAACCGATCAAGCCACTCAGGTGCCCCTGTGGAACTTCTTTTAAAGCAGCACTCAGAACGTAGGTGTTGGCACACATTCTTAAATAATTTACTTTATAATTATTTTAGTAATGAAGTCAGCTAGGCATCTTCTGAAAAAATTTGTTGATTATAAACTTCAGAGTATAAATTCATAGTAAAGTGACCCTTTGGGCATAGACGGCATTTATCTAGAAGGCTTCTGCAAGCTGGACTTTTGTTCCCCTGGTAGAGTTGGGGAGCTCTGGCCTCCAAAAGGTGTTCTTGAATTTCCCTAGCCAAAAGCTCCTTCTCATATCAACCATAAAGTCATGGTATTTATCACTTTAATCCTTAGTGGTATTATATTAATTGATGTCCGGTCTCTACTGCTAGTGATAAACCTCTTTTTTTTTTTTAATATTTATTTATTTTAGGGGTGCCTGGGTGGTGTCAGTTGAGTGTCTGATTCTTGGTTTCAATTGGGGTTGTGATCTTGGGGTCCTGAGATCAAGCCCCGAGTCGGGCTCCATGCAGAGCATGGCGTCTGCTTGGATTTCTCTACCCTTCTCCCTCTGCTCCTCACCTCCCCCCACCATGCTCGCTCGCTCTCTCTCTCGCTCTCTCTCTCTGTCTCTCTAAAGGGAGAGAGAGAGCATGTGAGTGCACAAGTGGGGGAGTTGGGGGAGGGGCAAAGGGAGAGGGAGAGAGAATCCTCAAGCAGGCTCCCCACTGAGTGCAGAGCCCAATGTGAGACTCGATCCCAGGACTCTGAGATCATGACCTGAGCCGAAATCGGGAGTCGACTGCTTAACCAACTGAACCACCTGGGTGCCCCTAAATGGTAAACCTCTTAAGGGCAGGAGGAGTATTTATCAATGAATAACAAAAATAACATCTGGTCCCTTACTGCTTTGAACAGTGAGTATTTTTGAATGAGCAAATAAATAATTGTGTCCGTGAGGAGGTGACCCGAAAAGAGAAAAAAGGTTGTTAAATTATTTTATACCATAGAATTAGTCACAACCCATTTCAAGATGGAGTAGGCATAGAAATCATGTAAGTACAAATCCTCCATAGATAGATTAGCAAATGGAGGACTAAATCAACTAAGGTCTTAGAGTTACTTACTTAGTGGTTCCATGTTGGCACTTTCATTTAAAGAATGGTCAAAACTAAGCCTTATATTACTGGCTTCATGTGCTGTGGCTGCAAAAATCAAAGTCTGGCCTTGGCATTGCCAGGACCAGTGAAAATATATTTAGAGCTACTTTGCCAATTCTAATTCTCACCTTCCGTCTCTTATGGTTGCCAAAGAATTATGACTTTAGAGAGTTTTTTTTTTTTTTTCCTCCCTACTTTAACGTATTGGATTTTGATACCAGCTAAAACCATTGTATTGTCTGGGGCTGTCTGAGAACTTAGTAGATCATCCTGCTATACCAGTGACTAAGTGCAAGGTCTCTGGATTCTACAGCCTGACTTCTGGGCTCAGATTTTAGCTCCTCAGCTTACTGTGTGATGTTGGACAAGTTACTAAACTTAAGTGCCTCTGTTTTCTCATCAAAAGTTGAGGTTGGGTCATAATAGTAACTATCTTATAGAATTGTTAAGATAAATTAACTAGTTCATTATTAAGGCTTTCCTGGAACATTGGAAATGGTCAATAAATGTTAGCCGTTATGATGGTCCTGGAATGCCAAATGGCCTGACCCATCTTCATCCAATCATCATTTTCCTTTCATTGGTAAGGGGTATGTTTACTGAAATTCTCTCTGAGATTTAATAATAAAGATAATGCTGGAGATTACATTTCAGCAGTATCTGGAAGGTTTGGATATGTAAACATTGACTATAAGGTCTTCCCAGATAGAGGAAATAGTGTGAATAAACTCTGATGGGGAGAAATGTGGGGTTGTCTCAGGAATAGTAAGGAATTCAGGTTAGCTGCAGTGAAAGGTGTCCTATGGGGAGAAGTGGGAGATTAGGTAAGAGATTAGGGATTGGCCCATGGAGGCCCTGGGATGGCAGTCCAAGGAGTGTGGATTGGGGGCCTTTGAATTCAGAGATCCCTTTTGCAGCAAAGTAGAGAGAGGAGGGATTAGAGGGAATGGGGTGGAGGTAAGGGGACCAGATAGAAGGTGGTTGAGTCCGTAGGAGTAAAGGGGAGGAGGCTATGGTCTTGATAACACTTTGGAATTTATGCAAGGGATGGGGGGGCATAACCTAAGTGCCATTAACAGAAATAGGGTTTGGGATGGAGAAATATGATTTCAGTTTCATGAACATCAGTTTGAGGTACAGGTGGGACAGCCCAAGAGAATCATCCCTTTGATAGAGATTCAGAACTGGAACTCAGGCAAAAAGTTCAGTATTAGAGATAAAAAGCTGAGAGTCATTTCCAGATGTGTGATAGTGGTTAAGGACATGACAATATATGAAATTGCCTAAGACTGCACCCGTAGACTCAAAAGAGATCTTACACTTTTTGGAGGAGAGATAGCTAAGGCAAGAAGCAGGAAACATGGTCACCTAAAATTCTGGGGCGTAGGAATTCAGTTCAGCTGCTGTTGTGTGTGACTTAGAGCCGCTCTTTGCTTTTCCTACAGCACTTTCCAGTTTTTAAGCCTGCTCATGAACCGCAGGAGGAACTTCCTACTTCCCTTTTTCCAATCACATACTGATGGCCAATGACCCTCCAAGTTTCTTTAATACTGGGCAGAGAATTAGGCTCAAATTATGGAATTCTAAAATGGCTATATAAAATTTACATATTTCATATTACAAGGTTAGAACACAGACTCTGAAGAAATAAATTTAAATTAAAAAAATTTCAAGACCGAACTGTTTTATAACCCTTCATTTTGTATGTGGTTTTCAGTGGGTATAAAAATACTCAGTGGGTGTGTGGGTGGTTTCTCGTGTTTTGGAAATGGTGAGAATATGAGATGCTGTGCATTGGGTTCTGGGATGAGAGCTATAATTACTAACTCTGATCCTTTCCCAGGATTGGCTCATGGGTGGATATCTATCTGAATCTAAAAACCCAACAATGCAGAATCCACAATAATAAACCACTCCCCCCGCCTCCCCCCCCCCCCCGGAAATGAAAAGAATTGTTGTGGTGGGGGAGAGGGGGGAGCGTGGGATGATGGTTCTTCCCTGCTTTGCCTCTTTTCAGGCCATTCACTGACTCTTCAGGTCAGAGATGCAGCTCAAATGAAGGCTGGTGTGGTGGCATCTCCCGGCCTGATGCACAACAGCCACTGCACAGCTGTGGTGGAAAGAGTTCTAAATATAACCCAGACTCATTTCAAATCCTCCTCCTCCAAGTCTTGGAGGATGTGGTAAACACCCTAAAAATACCTGATGTCTGAACCTTTGAGGTATGGAAGAGGAAGGGGCAGGTGGTAGAATTAGGTCCACGTGCTGGTGTGAGGAGGCCTGGCCAGCTACCAGGCCTGCTGCCCGTGGGGGCCTCTGCCCGTGGGGGCCTGCCACCAAAGCTGCTTGGGGAGCTGTCGACCATGCCATCCTGTTCAAGGATAAGTGCCTACTCTTGAGTCTCATGTTCACTGTTGGCAGGTTTCAAGGAAACTATTCATAGACTAGGCATCTGCTCTCTGTCCCATTGACCTCAAACCTGCAGCTGCCACCATGGTATTCGGGCATTGTGCCGGTTTTTAGTTGTATTTCATGGAATTAGAATTCTAGAGCGGCAAGGACCTTAGCCATTATATTGTTCATAAAACATTCCTTTAAAATCATTGTATTTAGGGAGTCGTATTTCTCTGCCTAGATAGTGACCATAGTGATGTGAAAATGGAGTCTCAGTCCTTGATTATTAAGAGAAATCACTGTCATCATTATGTAACAAGTAGAAGAATAATGAAAACCAATCTTTTTAAAAATATCGATGAAATGATCCTGTGCAAAGCTTTTTCTTTTTTATTAAAAAAATAGGGTTTTGAGGCTCATTTTGTCTTTCAAACTTCAGTATTTTGAATATTAAAGATCACTGGTAACAGAACCAGAAAGAACACCAGGAGTCTTGTTTTCAAGGAGGCTTTCAATATCTAGTTTCTGGAATCCCAAACCATAACCATGATGTTGTAATTGAAGGACCATAGCTCACCTCTGTTTTCTTGGGAAGGAAAGTTTTCATAGATTACCTCCAATACATATGAGATGCATTCAAAGTCATGGAGGCAGTCAGCACCATTATAAAATAGCATGAATCATCCAAATTTTTAAGTGTATGATAACTACCTTACCCCAGTCTCCTTCAGTAAACTCTGAGAAGGTCCAGCGAGTGCAGAGCCTGTGTTGGGTGCTGCGCAGGGGAAAGCAAAGATGCCCCAAAAAGCCTGTATAGCTGATGGTGGAGACAGGACCAATTCAAGAAGTGAATAGTTTTAAATATGTTGCATTTATGGTGGTTACAGAATTTTTATAATCGGAACAAGTATGTATCTTCCATTCTGAGGGTCTCAGAGTTCCTTTCTGTATCTAAAAGAGTGTTACTTATTTTACACTCTGGATTGAAAGTAAATTGAAAATTTTTCTTGAATTCTTGAAGCCATCAACATGGTTGTTTTTTTTATGTCACTTAATGCATATCTGAAATAGCACCGCTAGAACCTCATATTTCCCTGGACCAGGACACTTGTAACCAGAAGTGAGACTCCTTGGGATAGAGTCTGCTTTGGGAGTCAGTGTGATTTTGTGGAAGAGCAACTGAAGGCAAGGAGGATGTGGGTTTAGAGGGGATCTTCTTTTTCCGTGCGGTTAAGAAGAGAGGGAGGGAGAGGGTAATATCCACCTGTAGGTGACTCAGGTGGCATGGTTCATGAATTCTCAAACGTTTCCCTCTGAAATTCCAGAATGAAGAGCTTCGGAACTTGTCCCTTTCTGGACATGTTGGATTTGACAGTCTCCCAGACCAGCTGGTCAATAAGTCTACTTCTCAAGGATTCTGTTTCAACATCCTGTGTGTTGGTAAGTGACTCATCTCTTGCTGCTGAGCGAGGAGTCTGATCCTTAGGTGTTGGCAGGTGACTATCAGAGGCGCACATTTCAGGGAAATAGGGGAATGACATTTTTACTCGTCTTTCTTTCATTAGTAAAGTAGGACAATAATATACACAGATATATGTCACATAGTTACACAGATTGAGACTTGTATTTGGTAAATGTTTCATAAGCTTTGCGATGTTACTCAAATTGTTATTTTTATTTGTGTCACACATTCAAATGGTCAGTTCAGTATTGTTATTAAAACACTTATTTTAATTTTTGGTGGGGGGAGAGACTTAGATCCTAACTAGACTATAGGAAGTTGAACGAAGGAAGTGATATGAACATACATAGTAAGATCATTCAAAAACATTTTGAGAATTTATGACTACAGTGCAATAGTAACCTCCATTGAAGTCTTTTCAAAGGTATACAACCTAATGTAAGTAAAACCTGAAATTACTCTAACTTCCTTAATAAACATAATGTTTACATTTTTGGTTTTTAGAGCAAAAGAATTTAAAATTCTGTTTTATATTTGAAATAAGTTTTCTGCCCGAATTATCAAGTTAAACTTTTGTCTTTAAATTGGAATCTAAAACTAACCTTAGTTTTTTCCCTGGTAGATAAATAGAAAAAACCCCCCACGAGAATTGATTTATCTGCCTCCTCAGTATGTTTTATTCATATCTTGTAGATATTGTACATTAGTCTAGGCCTCTGGCCTTGGTATTTTTCTTCTCTCTAGCCATATTCTTTTTAAAGGAAAGGCAGAAAAGAAGGTGGGGGGGGGGAAAGAGGAAAATAGAAGTGTAAATCTGTTGGTTTGAAGCAAGAGATGCCCCTGGCACAGATAATGGCCTTTCCTTCTTTGTCACTCCTGATGAATGGCCAGGCTGTACAGCAGTGAAATGGTTTGGGCTGCATTGTTTTGTTGCCATTGTCCTGTTGTCCTCCGGGTGTGTGTTTCGGAGACATCACTCTGAGCTAGACCAGAAGAAATTACATATATAGCCAAGTGGACCATCCTTCCCCTAAGCTTGGCAGAATGTACCAGACTTATTTCTCTTGTCCAGGTAAAATGAAGTGAATTTAAAAAAGGTAGGCATTGAATATAAGAACCACCATTTAAAAAATTTGTTAGTTATTAGGGGGAGGGCCAGATATTTTCTTTTTCAAAAAACCTGAGCATATTCAATGTAGCCCCTGTATTGGGTGTTCATTTGTAGAAAGCCACAACCGACTTGTACACTAGACCAGCTTGCACTCCGGCATTATGTCTGAAAGCGTTGGATAAGACAATAACTGGAGAGAAACATGACCAAAGAAACCAGCTCTCATGCATTCCCCTTTCCCCTACATGAAGCTGTTTAAAATTCAGCAGGGGAGCTCCTGAATGGCAGCTCGTTCTACAGAGTGGCATAAATGAGTTGTCTTTTCTCTTAGGGTAAATGCTCATTGCAGAGCAGGGCAATTCTTCATTAGCGTAGCAATTTGTTGGCAATTTGTTGATTTTCTATTGAAGAGCGTGCTAAATTAGAGGCCAGTTACTATTCTGGCTTCTCTTCCCTGCCTCCCTCAGCCCTGTCTCTAAAATCAGCTTCAAGAATACATGTGGGAGTTATATCCCAGCGCCTGCAAGTAGGATAATGCCTTTCAGTGGGATTGGGTTTGCTGGAAGGACCTGGTTTGAGCCGGTGTGTGGTGTGCAGTGGGGTGTATTGGCTCATTGGCTGACTCTGTGTGTTCAATAGCACAATTATGATGCCAGTTGGAATTCATCACAAGCCACATCCACGCTGCCCGGATGGATTTGTAAAGCAGCTGCTATTCTGACTGTCCTGGGTAGGTGATAATGCCTTTGATTTTTAGATTTTTATTCTGGGCTCATTCTTAAACATGTTTAAAATTAGTTTTTTAATTTAAAATAATACATACTTGTTTTTTAAAAAATTATAAGCTCTCCCTGCCCCGTTTCCCCTCCTGCCCTCATTTCCATTCCACAGAGGTAGCACTGTGGAATCCTTCTAGAAATCTTCTACATTTTTCTGTACTTAAAAAATTATTTTTGGTGGCTTAAAACAACACTGGCTTATTATCTTATGGTTCTGTAGAAGTCCCATATGTGTCTTACCAGGCTAAAATTAAGGCATCCACAGGGCTGAGTTTCTTTCCAGAACCTCTGGGGGAACTCACATTTCCTTGCTGTTGCCAGCTTCTGGAGGCCACCTGCATCCTTGGCTTGTGGACCCTTTCCTCCATCTTCAAAGCCAACAGTGTTGTGTTTCTCTGTGTTTTTGTATTAGGAAAATTTTCACAGAGAATTCCAGAAGTCCAGTTTAAACTCAAGAGGCCTCTGCAACTCCAAAGCACGCTAAAAAAATAATATATTGAATCATGTAATTAAGAACAGCTGGCTCTAGGGAATCACAGAGTGTCTTCAAGGCTGTGTCTCTGGTTCTTCATCCTGCTTGCTTCTGCTTGGCTTCATGTTCAGGCTTTTTCTTCAGGAGGCTAGTATGGCTTCCAGCAGTTGTCGGCTTAGCAACCCCCGAGGAAAGAACCCGCTGTTCTTGACAAGTCTCGCTGAACAGTCATAGGACGTCTCTGACCAGGCCTGAGTCATATGCTCACTCGGGGTGGGATATGGGGTTAGCTAACTACAAAACACAAATGGTGCCCTGCGAGAAAGAAGACATGATCAGAAAGGAGGTTGGGCACGGAAGAGACACACACTGGACAGGCATAAACAGCTCTCACGATTATGGGAGCACTTTTATGTTTTGGTTTTACACAAATGAGATCATGCTGTTCATATTCTTCTGCGCCTTCCTTTTTCCTTTCTTTTCTTTTCTTTCTTTTTTTTTTTTTTTTTTTTAACTCTACAGTAAGTCCTAGCTATTCCTCCATGCTGGTATATCTAGCTGACCAGATTCTCTTCCATGACTCTGGAGCCCTCTGGTTGGAGCCAGCATTAGCTCTTTGGGAGACGGGGTTCAGGGATGTCAGCATTAAGTATTAAGCATACTTGTCCACAGAGGGTAGAACACATCAAATCCCTTTGCCACAAATAATTTACAGCAAAATATCTGTATAAGAAAACAACTCTCACTGCCGATTAATGGTCCATCTATGTTTATTTATTTTTTATTGTTTAAATTCAATTAGCCAACATATAGTACATCATTAGTTTCAGATGTAGTGTTCAATAATTCATCAGTTGCATATAACACCCAGTGCTCATCATACCACGTGCCCTCCTTAATGCCCATCACCCAGTTACCTCATCCCCCCACCAACCCTCAGTTTGTTTTCTAGAGTTAAGAGTCTCTCTTGGTGTTTCTCCCTCTCTGATGACTTCCCATTCAGTTTTCCCTCCCTTCCCCTATGATCCTCTGTGCTGTTTCTTATATTCTACCTATGAGGGAAACCATATGATAATTGTCTTTCTCTCATTGACTTATTTTACTCAGCATAATACCCTCCACTTCCATCCATAATGGTCCATCTATTTTTAAAGTAAGAGTCTATGAAAAAGTATTCTAGTTGATCAAAATATTTTGACAGCCACTTAGAGGAGTAGGTGACATTTCATTTAAGCATATCCATGGTACTTTCTTTTCACATTGTCACTCTACTGTCCATTTGTATTTTTTTAACACCGTATGCAAATGTGTGGTATTTATAGCATCATTATTTTCATGTGATAATTACGGGAGGGAATTGAGAATTTAAAAAAAAAAAAGTTACGATCCTAGTAAGGAAACTGATCATGTTTAACAAAAAAGCCTTGGAATTGTAATTTTATTTTGTGGCAAGAGCTGTTAGGTTGCAAAGAGGGGAAACAAACCAGGGCAGTAACTAATCCTGGCATGAGCTTAGTCTAGTTTTAGAGGCCATGAGTTAAATGTCTGGTATTAGAACCCATCTCTGTTGAATCCTGGAAAGAAATGTAATAAAGAGGAGAGTGGTGTTCACTTAACAGGGAAGGAAATTCTTGATGTTAAATTGGATGCCGGAACACCCAGGAGTTCATTGCCTCCCCCCTCACTCCCGCTACATCTTGCTTACAACATACTAAATCACCCCCAGAGCTGCACTTGTATTTAAACAAAGCCTTTTCTTTCTTATCCATGCTGTATTTCTCTAGGGAATCAAAATTTAGCCTTTCTTCACAATTTAAAATTTATGTACCTTATTCATTTTCCAAAATGGCATTAGCTCTATGAGAAGCTTCAACATTGATCCAGAAGTATGTAAGTTCTTTGTGTATATACAAAGATGGATAAAATACTGTAACATCCCTGCTTTTGAAGGGCAACCAGTTCAGTAGTAGGGTCAAAGTAAATTAATAATATGTCTTGAAAATAGAAATCTTTCTTATAATCCAACCATAGTTGTTTTGAGAGGATGACAGAAGAGGAGTAGAAACCATGCAAGTTTAAGATCTTTTTAGCCAAGACTATAGTATGAACATAAACTGTTTTATGTTCATTTTTATACTTAAATGTTTAATTTTACACTTAAATGTTCAATTTTACCCCTAAATCTTTTTTTTTCTCAAGAATTTTATTAAGTTTTTTTTTTTTTATTTGGGTATAGTTGACACAATGTCACATTAGTTTCAGGTATACATTTTTATCCCATTTTGCTTTTCCAGGAAAGGATTTGAAATGATTTACAGGGCAAAATGAATGAGTAAATGAATAAAGATAAAATTAACCCCAGAAAATAAAGAGAAGCCAGGAAAAGAGTCAGAACTCAAAGCTATCAAGTCAGTCTGTAGCAATTCTATCAGGGATACATTTAACTCTCAGCCAGTGGTCAGAGCATGGAATGAATCCATTCAGCCAAAAAATACTGAGCACATATTATGTGCCAAACATAAGTTAAACGTTTAACAATGACAGATTTATAGTATTTGTAAAGTAAAAACAAAACAGTTGCTCCAGATGAAACAGTTTCACCTAGAAAAATCTCCCCCATGGGTTTTCAGAAGAGATACGGTACATGTCTCTGCAGTTAGGTCTAGATTCCTAAGTATTCCCTAGATCAGTGCAGTTAATCCATGCAATGCCAAGTGTAATATGCTGTTCTTTCAAGTCCCTCATGCAGGCTGGTGGTATTAGACAAAGCATGTTTCATCAAAGGTGATTCGATGAGGAGTTAAAACAACACAGCTTAGATACATAGCTCTCTGATTATCGGGCTTCATCCAAGAATAAAATTCTAGAATATTAAGAGGAGGCAGGCCGACCTTCATGCACAATTATTTGGATAATTGAACAAGTTGCCAGACTTGGCAGTCAGTAAAAGGTGCTGAATCATGGATTGGGTCTTTGACCAATCTACAGTTACCGTCTTTTTTTTTTTTTTTTATAAAGATTTTACTTATTTATTTGACAGAGAGAGAATGAGCACAACCAGGGGGAGTGGCAGGCAGACGAAGAGAGAGAAGCAGACTCCCCGAGGAGCAAGGAGCCCGATGTGGGGCTTGATCCCCAGGACCCAGGACCCCGGGATCATGACCTGAGCTGAAGGCAGACACTTAACTGACTGAGCCACCCCAGCGCCCCTACAGTTACCTTCTAATTAATAATACAACCCTTCTGGGTCTTTTTTTCTTTTTCTTTTTTCTTTCTTCTCCTCCTCCTCCTCCTCCCCCTCCCCCTCCCCCTCCTTCTCATGTCCAGCTCAGAGCCTGTGGTTTAAATAAGCCTGAGAATAGAATGGAAGACGTAGTACTGCTTTCCACTTTGATATGGGTGTCCTGTTCACCAGCCTCCGCAGGAGCAAGAGAAACAGAAGCCACAGATAGCTCTTTAAGAGTAAATCTCGACTGTAACAACGGAATGTTTAGACAGATGTATTTATAACAGAATAAACAACAAACTCTGAAAAATCTACCAAAATGGCAAATCTCAGTATAAATTATCACCGTGATCATTTTTTGCCTTAATTAACTTTTAATAAATGCCTGTTCTATGCCAGATACTCCGCTAGGGAGTTCTGAAATGCTTCAAAGTTGGTGTTAGTCATTTATTTTCTCAAAATATTGTTATGGTTGTTGGGTTTGAATCCAAACCTGTGCCCAGTAAGCTTTCAGTTACTCAGTTAGAATGAAGACTTTTTGCTCTTTGGGTAGCTCAGAATTCTAGAAGATGCCCTGCTTTCTGAGGATAGAGAGAGGCCTCATAAACTGATGCACTCAGAACTCCCCTAGTTCTGTAATTCCTCTTATTCCAAAATCTGTCATTGCCTTCTCAACTGCTGTGGTGAATCACACTGCTGCAAGAGTAGCTGTGTCTAATTACGGCCCTTAAAAGCACAGAGCATAGAAATGGAAAGCAATGCACTCTGAAATTTAGAGGAACTGTGGTTTTTCCAACCCATTGATTAACCCCGTGCTGTAAGTAGTGCCTGGAATGCTAATTGTTCATAATTTCCACCTTAATGTAAATGACAATTAAAATTACCTTGCCTTAAAAACAAAAAACAAAACAAAGCACGCTATTCCTGATTCACATGTGCTTAACTAATTCTCAACCTAGAAAAATGAGATGGTAATTTCAGTCCTATCTAGGTAACCTGGAATCCTTAACCATGTAAATTGAAGTCTTCATTGCTGTTCTTAGGGAAAGAGATGAAAGTTAACTGGGTCACTTTGTACTGAGAGAAACTTTAACCTTGTGCAGAGACCTTTATAAGGTAGTTCTGCTGTTGTTCTTTTGTCCATGTTCTGAAAATGGGTAAATCTGGAAAAGAACTTTGCTGCCCTTGAGAAAGGTACACATGTAGCAGATACTGAAAATGACTCCAGCGCCTTCAGTATTGAATTGCCTACCAGATTCTAAGTATCGAAGAGCGAGAGCTCTATTTGTTTCTCTATCCATTACGTAGTAACTTTGTTTTGCTCAAAGTTACTTTGTTAAGCCATGAATCTTGGGTATCAGCTATTGAGCTCTATTACATTAGGGGGCAGAGACTAGTTTAGAGATCTTTTATTGATGGGCTTTTTTTTTATTTAAGATTTTATTCATTTGAGAGAGAGAGGGAGCACAAGAGCGGGGGGGCGGGCAGGGGGGCAGAGGGAGGGGCAAAGGGAGAGGGAGGAGGGAGAAGCCGACTCCCTGCTGGGGGGGGGGGGGGGGGGGGGGAGTGGGGCGTCGATCCCAGGACCCCGGGATCAACCCCTGAGCTGAAGGCAGATGCTTAACCATATGAGCAACCCAGATGGCCCTTGATGGGCTTTTTTGTAAGAATATTCAGGACAGTAAGGAAGACAGGAAACAGTCTCAACTGTTATACATCCAGACTTTGTGGAGATCTGGAATGACATTCAGGATATTACAGAAGTTCAGTCAGTGTCAGTTGTCTGTTTTTGTTCACCATTTTGTCCCCAGCACCCATGCTTGTCACATAGGATGTACTTAAATATTATTAATGAATACATTTTGGATACTAAGCTCTACTGTATCTCTCTGCTCTCTTCCTCCTGTATTCCCAGCTAAATGTCAGTCAGCAACACACCTTCTATTTACTTACACCTTTTCTGCCTCAAGGCCTCTGCTTATTCACTTCCCTCTGTGTATCTTTTCTTTTCCATGCTATTGCTTTGTGTGTGGATTGTGTATCTCTCCAGTATGGAGCACTTTCTTAGAGCATAGTGACCAGGCTGCTATGGGTACCTTCGGTCGGGGGGCTAGCCCTCGTCGAGTTAGCTGTGGTCACTAGCAAGGTCACAGGGTATGGTCTCGCTCATAAGAGGAATGAAGTTATGGCACGCACTTAGAATATCATTCTGTAATAGTAAATTAGAGTCTGACTGGTGTTCAGTCCCATTCCGGGTCAGATTCCAAGCAATGGGAGAACACCGTATCAAGCTAGTTCATTGTTGTATTCCTAGAACTTGACACAGAGCTTGGCACATAGTAGGCACTGGAAAAAGTACTGGCTGAGTGCAGCCTGATGAAGGAGGACATTCTTTGAGCTTAGATGTATCGGGTACTGCCTAATGGGCAAGGTTAAAGAGTAAGGCAAATGTACTTAAACAATTTTTATCCTGTAGGTGAATCATTATAGCCAGTGGTAAAACACATAAAGCTTCTAAGTAGAGAAAGGTCAAATCCAGAAAGGCTTCATCCTCCTTCACTTTCGAATTGTGTTTGGAAGAAATGAGTATTACAGAACCTCGAATTACTAAGTGGATTCTGTCATTACAGTGGGACAGTTGCTTTAAGGCTACAAATCCCAGAGCTTTTTCCCACAGAATTGTCACCATCGTAAAGGCTTCATAGCAACCCTTTAGAAGTGAAACCTCATGGGATTTGGATTTGTTGAAAGAGCTGCAACATGTTGCCATGTTTAAATTGAACTGGAAGTGTAATTGGGAAATATTCCAGATTTGAAAAACAAAGGCATTCTTATGGATCATGTTTCTTGATTTCTGCGTCCCTCTTTCCACTCCCACACTCAGTTGCCACCACCACTGACAAGGGTAGGTTTTATTTTTAATGCAACATAAAAATTAGGATTAAGAGACAGTTTTGCTTGACACTATTTTGGAGGCCTAGCTAACGTTCTTCTTGCTCCACATTTGGGGGTCCTCATTTGATTAGTGCAGTGGTCCCAGGTCGCTGTCACTCTTGTTTACACATGTTAGGGCTTCAGCAAACACCAATTTGAATTATCGATGTGAATTAACAAGGCCATTGTTGCAGGTTGCTTAACCTCATTTACTTTCATCGTCACAGATATCACCCTGAAACTGGAAAAACTAATAAATGTTTTTCCATCTTGATTCCAGTTGAATAGGGAAGGACAAATGGAAGTAATATGGAGGAGTCACAGAGATGCATAACTATAACTGGAAAATACCAGGCCGTCGGTTTTCTCTCTAATAGTAAAGTCAGGATGTTGTGTTGGTTGAGTGTAAGTGTTAGAACCACACAGACTTGGGTGAAAACCCTGGCTCTGTCACAGAACCGTGTGACTTTAGACAAGTTCCTTAAACTTAGCTAGGCCTTACTGCCCCTTCTGTGAAATGGAGGGGACAATAGTGCCTCTTTCATGGGGGATAGTAGTAGGATTTAAATGTGATAATGCATTGGAAGCCCTTGCTACAGGGCCTGGCACAAAGTAAGCCCTCAGTAACTTTAGCTGGGTTTGTTACGATTGCTGTTATTGTCAAGAGTGTTGTTTTGAAAATGTAATTTTTTTCAACAACATTAGATGGTGTCAGATAATTTGGTCACATCAGATAATATAAATGGGATTAGTGTTTTTTCTCCTGGTAACAGAAACAAACAATATAGTATTTTTTAAAGTAATGTAATTCTACCCACCAATATTTAGGAGAGGAAGAGATACAGTATATGTCTTTGAAATGTACAAGCTGCCACAGGCAAGCTTACAGGTTCTTCTTCTCTATCCAGAGGTTAAGAAGAGCATCTTGATCTGTAAGTGCAGGATCTTTTATGCTAAATGGTTTCTGGAATTCATTAAGGCCTATCTAGGGAGGGATTTGATAGATCACACATGTAAAGAACTATCTTTTTGTAGTGGGATTTCTGGTGATACTTCTATAAAAATTTTACAAATATGAGTATGAGAAATTCCTGATGAACTGAACTGATGTCTGAGAGGCGTTGACACATTCTCTCATGTCTCCCTTGTGCTTATGTAGGTGAGACGGGCATTGGCAAATCCACGTTAATGGACACTTTATTCAACACCAAATTTGAAAGTGACCCAGCTACTCACAATGAACCAGGTGTCCGATTAAAAGCCAGAAGTTACGAGCTTCAGGAAAGCAACGTACGGCTGAAGTTAACCATTGTTGACACCGTGGGATTTGGAGACCAGATAAATAAAGATGACAGGTACGTCTTGGGATTTCATGGGGATATAAATGGATCAGGAGATGGCAGGACCTGTTCTGGGTAAATTCAAAGGCTAAATGTTCACTAGTTATGGGGCTGGTCTTCTGTTGCCTAAAAGAAAAGACATCCTTGTTCTCTGAGAAATTTTCTTAGAATGTTCTTCCCTGAGGTCAGAACCAGACAACACAGTTGATTCCAGCTAGTGTAAGGAAAAAAGGGATTTCTTAGAAGGAATAAGTTAGCTTATGGCGTTTTTCCAGGAGGGTCATGGAACTAGACATGGGGGCTTTCCCAACAGGAAAAGCAATCTAGAGAAACACCCCAATATTCTACAGGACAATTGGCAGAAGCCCCTGCCACCAGTCACCTTATATAATTTGGTACCCATGACGCTGGGGGGAGGTCTCGAGAACCTCCACCAGGTCTGTCCCGGATAACCACATGCCTTTACCATCACTTGCAAGGAGAACAGGTGTGGCCTGTGTGTGGCCTCAGCTGTGTGGTGCTCACTCCCTGCTTCCAGGTTTGTATAGCTGCGTCTGCTTGGTAGAAACTAAACCACATCTAGAACACGAGCTGCAAGAATCTGGGAAATGTGGTTTTTGTTTTTGTTTTTTGCAACTCTGCAAAATAAGAAGGCATTAAAAAGTAGAGGAATTTGGAATGAGCATCTGCCATGCTCTCTTAGTCCCTGAGGCAGATTGGGATATTTGACTTAATCCCCAAATTCTTGCAGATTTCAGTGAAAACTGAGAGTTGATGAGAAATCATCTGTAAGAAGCCACAGCCCAGGATTTAGGAGACCTGGGTCATAGCCTGGATTCTGCCAATGAGAAGCTATAGGACCGTGGCAATTTATTTCACTTTAAGGGAATGTCACTAGATGTGTGATACTGTGTACGGTCCTATTCTTAGGCAGAGGCTGAAGGAAGGACACTGAAAGGCAAGGCCTGGAAGAGGGTGTGGTAATAAGGGGATTATCCTATATTTTGAAGTCTTTGGTCAAAGTGGTATTAACTCCTAAAACCTCAAAGTGAAGAAAGCATTTTTATGGAAGATCTGTTGGAAAAATCTTGATTTCCAGCTGAAACTGGATCTTGCTGTTGATGTCAGTGCTTGGGGTGAGGCACTGTGAGTCCTTCTGTGAAGTATCTGGGTCTTCCTCTAGGCTGCTAGAGGTCTGGGCAGCATGCTGGGTGCAGAATTGCCAAATCGAGTCTGAATGATTGTGGTTTCAGTCAAGCCTAATGAGGAATTTAGGTCGACTGGATTAAACTTTCCCTCTCTATCCAGTGGGGTTTGTTAAGCTATGAAATAATTTATACAATAAACTATATATGTGAAAGAAAGGACATGTCTAACCTGCTTAAGAAATAAGTTATTTTCTAAGAATTGTGTTCCAATAGTTTGTATGTAGATAGAGGCTACTACCTGTAAGTCAGTCTTATGTATTCATTCATTAAAATGCGTTCAAATAAACTTGAAGATATAATTATAAAATAATACAGTTAGGTTTTAGGATTTTTATAAAACATGTACTCAATTTATAAAGCCAGGTAAGTTTGGCTCTTCTCTCTCAGTTGCTGTATGCCTTTATTTGAGGGAAGCTGTTAATCTTAAAACTTCCTGGTGTTCAACCGATATGTTAACCTCAGTCCCCAAATATGTTCACACTCCTTTTCGAGATCATCCATCCTATTCATCATTCTTAACATCAGATATCTTATGACTATTTTAAATATTGTATTCATTTTCTTTTTTTTTTTTTTAGATTTTATTTATTTGAGACAGAGAGTGAGAGAGAACATGAGAGGGTCAGAGGGAGAAGCAGACTCCCTGCTGAGCAGGGAGCCCTATGTGGGACTCGATCCCGGGACTCCGGGATCATGACCTGAGCTGAAGGCAGTCGCTTAACCACTGAGCCATCCAGGCGCCCTATTGTATTCATTTTCAAAGGAAGTTAGAGAAAGTTAAAATTGTTGCAGGTCCAAAGATGATTCTAGAAGGGGGCTTCCAGAGACATTTTTGTGCAGTGACAACATAATGGGAATAAAACCCCAAGTCAGTAAGATATGTTTGCTTAGGGCTCAGAAATTTTATTAGTACCAAGAGTTTGTTTGTTTCTTTTTAAAAAAATTTTCCTCAAAACTGTGTATATTATATGCATATGTTTTATCAAGAGGAACTTGAACTATTTTTATCTAGAATGTGTATTGCCTAGAGATATTTTAACTACCCTGATATATATGAGCAACATAGTAATTAGGAAGAAATATTTAATTCATTCTCTAGCTGAGCACTGAGCTCCATTTTATCTATAGAGCAATTTAAATGCTCTTCAATAAACATTGTCCTGTAATAACAGGAGCACTTGTTAGATGTAGTGAGAAGGATTTTATTTCGCATCTGGTCAAAATGAACTATCTGTACATTGTGTGGGGTGGGGGACAGCTAAGCTCAGACCCTGCAGCTGAGCTATTGCTCTTAATTTATGACCTCAATGCCAAGGAATGATGGAGAGGTTACTGCCTGAAGGCTGTTTGTAATACCAAGTGAAATAGATGTCAGGCTTGTGCACTCCCTGATTGGAAGGCAGTAACTGGACCTTTTCAGGATCCCTTCCTGCAGGAATGAGAACCATCTTCCAGCATCTTTCTGCTAAGACTCCATGTGCTCTTCCCGCTCAGAGTCATTGCCTCAGTGGCTGCACTGAATTGCCTCTCCCCAAGTGGGGATTTTCCTTCGGCCTGCTGGTTTTCACTGGCCGGCGCTGAACAGCAAGTGGCTACTACTATACCAATTCTCATATTTGCAGCTGGAGGCCTCTTTAAGAAATTATCTGACTCATTTGGGTCAAATAATAGTTTCCAAGGAGATTTAGAAGAGAGGAAGTGTGATATTAACCTAACCTAGATACCAAATATTTTTTTCTTCTGAAATTTCTTGACAGCTGTTGCATAACCTCTTTAAATGGCATTTAGAACTCTGTCCCCTAGAAGGCATTGTTGACACTGTTGACTCTAAACCCGAATGACTATTGTTTAAAAAAAATTTTTTTTCGGACAGTCTGCTTCCATAAAAGAATTGGAAGTGAGATATGCATTTTTGCATTGATATGTAACCATATGGGAAGCAATGTGCTGTTTCTCTAAACCCATGATTATTTTTACTACTTTGGGGATGAGGCAAGCTTTTCTGCCATGAATGCAGGACTTCAAGAATGTCCTGGCTTGTTTATGTAGGCTTCAGTCATGTCAGCATTCCTGCATGAGTATCTGCCTGAGACCGAGCTAGCTAGAAGGAGGCAGGAAGAGAGATCTGGTAAGGTTTCCTGTTAGGTTTAATAGCAGGATTAACTCTTCATGGTTTAAGGGCTTCTTTGTTTTGCTGTCTGTATTCTTCAGTGAAGAAGGGGAGGGGTCTGGAGAAGAAGGTAAACCAAGTTTTGTCATAGAACTGGAAATAGAATAATTCATTTGCCCCACATTTGGGAAATGGGAGATAGAATGTCAATGGCATGTCACTAATTGTAATGATAACCCTGAAAAGCATGAATAATTGAAATCTTCAAACTCACCACATCTTTGTACCAGAGTTATAAAATGGTTTTGAAGTAGACCATTTGGTCTTTCTGTTTGCCGCACTTTCTGATGGAGGTAGTTGAGAGATAAGGAAAACTAACTTTAACAGCAAGGTAGAGAAAAATAGATGGTAGGTATCTGGCCGTATGTAAAATGGAGAGTCGGTCCCTGAACAATGGTGTTGGTTCTTTTGCAAGAATGATCAGTGGGTAGCTTGGGTGGATAGAAAACATTGTATAAAATATCTTTTTCCATCAGTTTCAGGGTCAGCCTCTGTATTTTATTGTGGACTCTGTGGCTGGAGGTATATGAAAAAAATGAGTTGTGGGTAAAAAGGACTATTCCCATGCCTTAAGAGGAGACAATGTAAGGACTAGATTTGATTTGCCCTCCACTTTCCTCTGCTTGGTATGACTATAATCCAGAGAAGTTGGAACTGGCTAAACAGAAAATAAATGGGTGTCCTTTCTCTAAGAATGGAAACTAGCAAAAGGCAAAATTGGGATTACACTTCCTTCTCTTTATGACTGTGAATGTAGATAAGAAGTGGAAAGGAGTAGGAGAAGAGGGGCAGATCATTTGTTTAAAGGATTAAGAAGGGGAATACAAAATTACTGGCTGACTGAAACACAGGGAATACTGATTTTGGTAAATAGTTCTCCTGAAATACATTTCTTTGTAATTTGTTATAACAATTAGAAGTTAAAATTGATGGAATTTCATGCTTGATTGTGTGTGTTGTGGGGGAGTAGAAGGGGAGGTCCCCGGGTGGTGTGCATGGGGGTGCCATTCACCAAGCGAAGGAATACAGGGAAGTGTGGGTTTGGGGGCAGGATGAAGAGTCCCATCGTGGACACATTTAGTTAGAAGAGCCAATGGAGATATCGCGTAAGCAGTTGGATGAATGGTGCTGAAACTTGAGTGAAAGATCTGGGCTCCGAGCAGGGATTTATGAATTATCATCACTTAGATGGTGAGTAAAACACAGGAGTAAATGTGATTTTTCAGGGAGATCACATAAAGGGCAAAGAAGGGGATTGGAAGATTAGCCAGAACTCCCTGACAGGGGAAGGCAGACGGAGACCCACGATGTAAGAGGAGAACGAAAGGTTTCTTGGGATATATTGAATCCAGGGCAGAAAGCATTCCTCCCTGGAAAAGGAGAGGTGTTATGCTTCCCATAATCTTGGAGGTTCAGAATCAACACCAGAGGCAAGAGGGAAATTAGTAGAAAGCAGAAACATACTTGGAGCCTGCTGGGGAGGCGGTGCCGAGAGGCTAAAAATCAGGAACTGGTGAGGCAGGAAGGAGCAATTGCTTGTGAGCTGCTTTTCCTTTCCTTTCTGAAGAGGGTGTTGGAGAAAGACCCTGGTTCCCCAAACACTTGCCTCAGTGTCCAGAGACGGAAAGATGAGGCCTTGCGCTGGCACAGGTGGACCTCGGTGGAATGCAGGGCATGAGCTCAGCAGCAGAATGGTTACCATGAGCCAGGTGAGGGTAGGGTTCCTTTTCCCCCCCTTCTCTTTCTAAAAAGTCAGGCTTGCTTTTCCCCTGTTTGTTGTTTATTATTTTTTATTATATTACTATGAAATAGTTATATCTTACTCTTCTGTGCTAGTCCTTTATACATATTAGCTTATTTGTCACAGTAGCTCTCTGATATAGGTACTTTTTTTGTCCTTGATTTACCTATGAGGAAACTGAAACACAGATGTTTAGTAACTTGCTCAAAGTCACATAGGTAGTAAATTTTTGGAGTGGGAGTTGGTTTGGCTTGAATCCATGCTTCTAATCACTATCCTATGATAATATTATTAATATTGTTATGTAATACCTACCTGTGTTTTAAAGTGCAAAACATAGAAGAAACTTATCACTTGCTCATTCTTTCTATTAGAATTTATTGGGATTTCTGTTGTCATATTTAGAACTTTATTATTACAGAGGCATATCCTGCTTTTTCTTTAAACCACTAGAGATTTTGTCTGCTCAAATTGCATCAGTGGATTGTGATGAATCACCAAGGAAAAATATCAAAAACCTTTTTTTCTGAGTGCTTTCAGTTTTTGGTTATAAATGTATTTTTTGTTTTGTTTGTTTGCTTGCTTTCTCAGGGTATCTGCTGTCATCCACATTATCAAAGATTTGTAGTTCCCTTTCAAGGATTTCAGTTTTACTATATGAGTTAGGGGAGCCGAGTGTTGAAAGGTTTTTATTTTTCTTAAAGCTTAAGTCATTCCTCAGCAAGATAGTTAAGTTTGGAGAGAATTAACCCATTGTGTTCCTAGTAGACCAATCTCATTGCGGCTAACACTGACTTCTGAGCAGTCCCCTGGAGACCTGAAAGTTTATAGCTTTTCCACAGTGACCTACCTAATGTACTGCTGAGTCCCTGGAGAACATCTGGTTTATTGAATGCATATTCCCAATATACTATTAATGATTATGGTCAGTTAATAGAATCATACGTAATTATTCAAAACGGATTTTAATTATGATTTGCTGAGAAGGGTTACAGCATTTATCTCCCAATCATAAAATTTCAGAGTTGGAAGTAATCTTGAAGCTCCTAATCACCCAGGCCCCTCAGTTTATAGATGAAGCTCTGGAGGGAGCACGGAAGAGCTCCCACTAGGTGATACCATGGCCTAAAATTGAAAACCACTTTCCTTTTGTGCACCAAAGTCAATCAGTTGGCAGAGGCTGTCAGAATCACTTTATTAAGACAGATTCTGAGACTCCGTTTTGGCCCAGCAGGAAAGAATGCCACAATTTCTTAGCAGTGTCTTCCATGGGAAGTGACAGCATGGTTCACATATTTATAATCTCTGTTTTAAAGGATGAATGTTAGCCAGGAGAATACTAGGAAGAAGTCTGTTCTGGGTACGGGGGGCTAGCGTGAACAAAGGCACGGAGGCAGATGAAAGCTTCGTGTGTGTGACTGGGACAGACGTGGCGAGCCAGGGAGGGAGTGGGAGAGAGGAGCTTGAGAGATGTTCAGGCTCCAGAGGATGGAAGGCCCGGGATGCGCAGGTAAGGCTTTGGGGCTTTAGCTCTTAAGCAAAGGAGCCATTGGAGACTTTACAGAAGGATTGTCCTGCACTGAACTGCATGAGAGATTTATGGCTAGAAACATGCTCATTTGAAGGTGTGTTTTACAAAACATTCTTTTGCATTCTAGCTATAAGCCAATAGTGGAATATATTGATGCCCAGTTTGAGGCCTACCTGCAAGAGGAATTGAAGATCAAACGTTCTCTCTTCAACTACCACGACACCAGGATCCACGCATGCCTCTACTTCATTGCCCCCACCGGCCACTCCCTGAAGTCTCTGGATCTAGTCACCATGAAAAAGCTGGACAGCAAGGTACCCACTACCACGCTGGCCACTGTCCCCTCCTTTTAGATCACCTTTATCTGAAGGCCCTGATTTTTCTCCTTTTAATGTCATTCGGTTGTATTGTTTTGTTTTACAAGACTGTTTTCCAAGCAGTTTTAGGTTCACAGCAGGGTTAAGAGGAAGGTACAGAGATTCCCGTATGCCCCTGCCCCCACATCAACACCCCCACCCGATGGGCACGTTGTCACAGCGGTGCACCTGCGTTGACACATCAGCCCCCCCAAGTCCATGTTTATATTAGGGTTCCCTCTTGGTGGTGTACATTCTGTGGGCTGGGACACGTCTGTAAAGACCTGTGTTCCTCATTATAGTGTACAGAGTACTTTTCCTGCCCTAAAATTCCTCTGTGCTCTTGCCCATTCATCCCTCCCCACTTCCTCCAACCCCGTAATTGTCTTTTCTGCTTTACAGAACAATAGGGTTTAGCAATGTGAGAAAAATGCTTCAAAACCTCTGGATGTTAGGCTAAACAAAATAAAACAAACAAACAAATAAAACCATGGAGCTCTTTACCAGGTATTTTTAGTTCTTAAATTAACACCAGTGGGTGCTCTGATGAGGAATTAAATAGTGGAGGCACCTAAAAGGTCATAGGAAGGGTTAAATTTAGGGAGATTGAAATACGAAGTCGCAATTTGTTTATTTTCTTAAAAGCTTTCTTTAAATTTCTTCGTTAAAAGTTTTTAAAAATTTGGCTTTAATATGAAGTTTTGAGTGGGGAAAAAAAGTTTTAATTTTTTTTTTTTTTTTTTTTTTTTACTTCGGTGATAAGGGCAGTCTGGTTCCTTAGATTTAAAACAGAACTGTACCCGTGTGTTTTTACAAAGTAGTTTCCGTTTGACACCTGAGCTTTTCACATTAATAACCTCTCCCTTTCACAACATTTGAAGGAAAGTCCTGATAAGTTTGATAACGTTTAGTGACCTACTTTACAATTAATTTGATTTTTTCATTTTGAAATAAATGGAAGACGGTACATTCTGAAAACAAAGAAGCAAATAACAATGGGAACGACCCCTCAAAAGAAGCTGTGGTGTTTTCTCTCCTAATCTTCTTTTTGAGTTCCACGAGGAGTCTTACCGTCTCTAGAGGGTTTTGTTGGGTGTTATTTTTTTGTCTAAACAACACTGTTGGAAAGATGCTCTCTCTCTAGAGGAACATGACAGAGAACACTCAGAAGACCAGCCTGTCCCCACGGCCTCTCTCTGAACTTGCGGCCAAAGTGCCGGCTGTGGCTGACTCAGAGCCAGGCTCCCGGGCTTCCAGCGCGTGCAGATGCCTGGGTTTACAGAAACATGGTCTGATGGCCTGAGTGGATTACTGCAGCTGTAGTGCTCTCCCGAGAACACACGGAAACCCTTCTCCATCACATTTGTTTCAGCTGCATTTAGCCACAGATGGCGGAGGGATCTGGGCCACGAGGCAGGCTCCCTGTGCTGTCCTGTCCTGGCCACGGGGCTGGGGGACAGGCAGGGACGGAGGGGGGCTCCTGACTGAGGCCACGTCGGTGGGCCAAGCCAGGCTAATATTCAACAACAGGGTTATGCTTAGTAGAGTTGAGTTAAAAAGGGAAAAGAGGAACGAAAATACAGCAAAGCAAATACAGCTGGAAACAAACTAACAAAAAAGTCCCCAGAAAGCAGGTTAAACTGCCTTCAAAGAATCACTATTGCTGTAGAGCTGGGCATGCTGGAGATCATCTGAAAATGGTATTTGCAAAAAGGTTTGTTGATACAAGCAAAGTGAAGAGTTTAGGCTCTTAACTATATAAGTCACAAATACATGATAATTTCAGAAAAGATTTTCAAGCACCTGCTACCAAGGAAGATTTTTTTTTTTAAGTTTATTTATTTATTTGTCAGAGAGAGAGAGAACACAAGCAGGGGGAGCTGGAGAGGGAGAAGCAGGCTCCCTGCTGAGCAAGGAGTCCAATGCGGGACTCGATCCCAGAACCCTGGGATCATGACCTGAGCTGAAGGCAGACGCTTAACTGACAGAGCCACCCAGGCCCCCCAAGGAAGAAGATTTTAAATCTAAATTGCTTGGTTCATCTATCTACTCTGATCAGACTGGCCCAAGAAACTGTGAAGCTCTGCCATTTTGTCTGTGTAACATTGAATGCCAAGTGTGTACAAAAGATAGCCCGTAAGAACAACGGGCAGGTGTTTTGTTCCTTGGGTCCTGACCCACACATTTCCTCACCACCAGCGTGTTTCTCGGTCTGTGACTTGCTGGATGAGACCAGGCACGATGAGGGTAGGAGTGGGTGGAGAAATAGGGGAAGAATAGGTTTTTTATCCACATGTGTCCTCATTGTGATGTATCAGGGATTTTGATTTGGCTCTTGGAATAAAAGGGGAAGCAAAGGAAGTAAAACATGACCACGAAAACCTCCTTAAAGACTCCCTCATTCTCTTGCTAGGACGGCTTTCTTACCACGTCCATCCCTCTTTCCCCTGAGCTGGGTGGAGAGCACGGCCCCAGGTATCGGATGTCCGTAGTGTCTTACTGAAAGCTCTGTACCTACCACGGAGCAGAGGACAGTTAATCTTAAAAAAAGGAATTTAAAAAAAATGTGCTGTGTGGACAGTGCTGGGGAAAGTTGGAAGAATGACTGCCGTTGGGGTTTGGGGCTTGTGCTTGAGGGTGTCCCTAGCTTTCACGCTGGGCTTTCTGCCACGGTTGTCAAACTCGGCCTTCTTCCTGGTCTTTGTAGCCTGTGCCCCGAAAGTGAGCCTTGTCTTTGGCACCAGGTCTCATTCTGGTATGAAGAAGTAATGTGATAGAAACCAGTGTTTCAAGAGAATTAGTTGGTATCATTTTGAAAACTTTAAAAGTAGGCGAAACTGTTTTTGTTTCAGTGAATACGTAGATTCTCCACTCCTAGCAGTCATTAGAAAAAAAAGAGGGTGTTATCCTGGGAGAGTTGGATATGCCCCTGTTCTGACTAACACAGTCTTGGCTATTACACTGTTGGGAACATGCAAAAATCAAGCTCCTAAAGTAGCTGGGAGGGGTCTAAAAGGAGTGGCTGGTTATTGAAAGAATAGGCTTTGTTATTGCTATTTGTCATAGAGTAACACTTCCTTTTACTCTGTAAAAAAAAAAAAAAAAAAATGAGGTAGAGGAAATTACAAGTATGGTTTCAGTGCTGGATGGGAGGAAGTAAAAGTGTTCACAGATGGAGCTAAAAGATTATCCCATATCTTCTTAATTTTGCATCTGGGCAGAAAGTCTGATTTTCAATATCATCTCTGTTTTTTAAGTGAAGGTTTACAATTTTTGTTGTTTATTATGTTTCATTCATTTGTCTTGTTTTTCTTACATTGGAATTGTGTAAAAATAGATGTGTTTGTTTTATAGGTGAACATCATTCCAATAATTGCAAAAGCTGACACCATTGCCAAAAATGAACTGCACAAATTCAAGAGTAAGATCATGAGTGAACTGGTCAGCAATGGAGTCCAGATATATCAGTTCCCCACAGATGAAGAAACGGTGGCGGAGATTAATGCAACAATGAGCGTAAGTCCTCAAGTTAGGAAGAACCTACCAGTAATTTTCCTGAAAGCTTTTCTTGGTAGCAGCATTGTAGAGTGACTAGAACCCTGGACCGGGAATCTGATTCTTCACTGTGGTCCAGCCCTGTCACTATGGCGAGGCATTTAAGCACCCTGCTCCTCAGTGTCTCTATCTGTCAAATGGGAAAGTTAGGCAAGCTCATCTCCAGTTTCCTTCCCACTCCAACAGATAAGATTTCTACAGCCAATCTCGTGGGAAGGGAATGCCTGCCCGGCACCATGTCATACAAAGCGGCTTACAGGAAATAGATCTCTGCTTGTTTCTGGCATTGTTGGCGGAAATATGTCCACCTGCCTCATTTTGGCTTCTGTGATGGGTTCCTGCCTTTCCCTCCTTTCTGCTTCTCCTACCCTTTCCTGAACCCTTGGGTTAACTGGCAGTCGAGGTATAATTTCTTCACCTCACAGGCAGGATGGTCAGAAGAGAAAGGACTAAAGCTTCAGCAAATCTTAGGTGCACCTGCGATATGATGTCTTGTGGTGAGCCTCCATGCTGCCCGCTGACACCTGAATCTTTCCCACTGCCTCTTTTGTATCTCACAGCCATAGCTCCTCTCTTGGCCACAATTACTATACATTTTTTTTTCACTTAGGAATGCATAACTTCTGTAAAAGTAGCGTTCTTTGCACATAGTAGATGCCCAATGATGGTTTTTGGAATTCTTAAAATTGTAGGTTAGCTTCAGTGAAATGCAATTAGAAGCTATTAAATAAGTTGCCTTTCCCTGGATACATGCTAAAAAATGATCCAAAAGTATGCTATTGGCAGCAGAAGTCAGTCTAAGTTGTGGTAGGTTGAGCTATGTTCTACTTCCCTTAGATCTGGTCATGAAAAGTGTCTAATGAAGTCATTAAATGCACCAAAGGCACTGTTTTTTTTTAATTAACAGCTTTATTGAGATATAATTGATATACTGTACAATTTACCCATTTAAAGCATGTAATTCAGTGGTTTTTAGTATATTCACAGGGTTGTACAACCATTGCCACCATCAATTTTAGAACCTTTTCGTCACCCCAAAAAGAAATTGTGTACCTTTTGGCAGTCAATTCTCTAACCATTCCAGCCCTAGGCAGCCACCACTCGACTTTCTTATCTCTATAGATTTGCCTATGCTAGGCATTTCATATGAAGGGGACTCCTACTGAAGCTCATCTGGAGACTTAAATGACTTGGTCAAAGCCAGCTAATAGCACCACTGAGATTTCAACCCTGGTCCCACATCTGTGTTGTTTGCCATCATAATTTAGGAGAACAGGGTTATAACACAAAAATTTTTTCTTCAGTTCAGCATATGGACTTTTCTATGTAGCACTGTTTCTTCCTTAAGTTATTCCTGATATGCCTAGGACTTTGGAAGCCAGTGCAGCTCCTCCCCTCTCTGGGACTGTTGTATGAATTTAAAATTTAGGAGCTCATTAAAGCAAAGATAGCCCAGCTCCACTCTGTTCTAGTCTGGTCACACTCTGAGTTGTATGACCCACTGTGGCTGCCATGCTCCTGTGGTCAGGATAGTAAAGGCTCTGGAACTTCTGGAAACTGGAGAGCAGGCTCTTCCTGAGGAGATGGCCTGAGGGGGTGTGTAAGGAAGGTTGTCATAGGGGAGAGTGACTGCTCTTATTCAAAAGACAGAGCTGAAACCAACAGTGAACGGCAGTGAGGGGTTTGGCCATCAGGACCACCGCAGCGTAGCAAACACCCCGTGGAAGGAGCGTGTTCCCACTGCCGGGGGGTGGACCACAGATTCTGAATCAAAGTGCTTAGAACAGCTGTGGTAGAAGGAGTTCCTAAGCAGGATCGAAACAGGTAGCATGTGAGGTCTCCTCCACATCTAGAACTCTCTGGTTGTGGGTACCGAGAGCTCTCTTAATAATCATAGTGCCTGACGTTTCTGACATCTGTGGAGGATTTACTGTGCACCAGCTGCTGCGCGAGGCCTTATTTACATTTAGTGCCCACACCAATCCCGTGGGTAGGTACTCAGGTGAGAGGAGACCGCAGCCCACCCCTCACATGGCACAGCTGTCAGCGGGGCCGGTGGGAGTGACGCCCGTGGAGCAGCGAGCTCGTGTTACGGCGTTGTCAGGAGCTCGGGCAGGGCAGCACTGGTTTATTCTGCTGCAGAGCCATGATTTGGGATGTCAGCGTAGGATTTGAGAAATAACGTGAATGAATATCATCTAATTTTCTCTTTATCTCCCTCCCCATCCTCTTAAATCATTTTGGATGGTCATGCAACTAAATTCGTGTTAAATTTCTTGGAAAGAAAATAGCTGTGAATCTTGGTTCTTTCTCTCTTTATCTGATTAATCGAGCTGGTTGTCCCAAATTAATCTTGTTCTTCAACAAGAAATTGTTTTTTAGGCTCTCCATTGCAAGCAATTCCTAGTGATGAAATCCCACGTGATAGGTGGAAAACAGATTTCTTTGGCAGTTGCTTTTGTCCCTCAGGGTGAGCAGAGAAAACGGTTTTCTTGGGTCATTACACCAAAATGTTGGCCGGAAGGGTCCTGGTGCTCCTCAACTTCAGGGAACATGTTACAGTTCCAGAATCAGAGTCTGAGAAAGAGAATGTGTTTCCTTCCTTTCTCCAGAGTGTGAGATGAACCAGAAAATAGAACTATCCTCAGCATCAGTGAAATACCACTTGGGCAGCCTGGGCTGAGAGTTATGCCCTCTGTGGGAGAGGATTTGGCTTTGAAACATTCTTGTCTTTCTCAGCTTCTCTGCAGTAGAAGAGCAGTGGATCAAGGAACTCGAGATAATACGTCTCGGAACATCCATTTCAAATCTTCTTATTTTATATGCTAATAGAAAAAAGGTGGAATTACTATCTGTTCCATCCCCTACTCCCAGAATGTAGACATAGGTACCAAAGAAGTCAATGTGGAACAGTCCGTTGTCTTGAACACCACCTCTGCTTGAGATAAGTCTGGGCTGCAAGGCTTGGGCCAGTAATTTGGGCTAAAGTGTATTTCTGACTTGAATTTTGTGCAATGGCCAACTATCTGAACCAATGCTGTTCAATAGAAATATAATATGAGTCACACAAGTAATTTAACATTTTCCAGTAGTCACATTTAAAAAGGTAAAAAGGGGGCGCCTGGGTGGCTCAGTCAGTTAAGCATTGGACTCTTGGTTTTGGCTTAGGTCCTGATCTCAGGGTTGTGAGATCAAGCCCCATGTTGGGCTCTGTGCTCAGCATAGAGTCTGCTTGGAATTATTTGTCCCTCTGCCCTTCCCTCTGGGCTCTCTCTCTCTCTCTCTCTCTCTCTCTCAAAATAAATAAAATCTTTAAAAAAATATGGCAGAAGTGGCATTATAAAAAAACAAAGTAAAAGGAAATGTGAAATTAATTTAAAAGTTTTACTGAATATATTCAAAATATTACCATTTCGACATGTAATCAATATAAAAATTAATGAGATACTTTGACAGTAAGTCTTTGAAATCCAATGTATATTTTATAATTACAGCATATCCCAATTTGGGTGAATACTCAAGTTGCTTCTAACATACTTGAAAGTTTTTCAATATGAACTAACTACCAAAGAGATAAGTTTCCTCTAATGTTTGCATCCACATTGAGCAAACTGGTTCTTCTTTTAGAAGATTTGAGTTTGAAGCAAAATGAAGTGAAGTCCCCAAACAACAGAATTTTATCTAACGGAAAAATATTTTATCTTCCATTTTAAAATTTAAATGTAAATGAATTAAAAGTAAATAAAATTAAAAATTCAGTGTCTTAATCCCACAAGCCCCATTTCAAGTGCTCAGTGGCCACACATATTAGTGGCTGTGGTCTTGTACAACACGAGTCTGAAGCTTCCTGTGTGGGTGCAGACTCCTACCGCTTCCCTTGAAGCTAGCTCCTAGCACCTAGTCCGTATTTGGTTGTAGAAAGGGTGGGGTGCACGCAGCCCAACCCCAGAGCCCCGTGCCTCTCCTCCCTCTCCTCCCCTCCCTCCCTGTTTTCTCCTGCTGCTAAGTGAGGCCTGCAGAAGAGGGCGGAGCTGGAGAAGGTAACTCGTCTCTGTCCTTGTGTCGCTTCACAGGTCCATCTCCCATTTGCAGTGGTCGGCAGCACCGAAGAAGTGAAGATCGGCAACAAGATGGCCAAGGCCAGGCAGTACCCCTGGGGTGTGGTGCAGGGTAGGTGCACAGTACGGGAAGGGTGTCTTCACATTTAACCTCTGTGGTGACTGTCCACTTTCCTTCCTTCCCTGCTGTGTTTGGGGAGGTGCTCAGCTGTAGGCAGGAGGAAGGGAGCAGTAGGGTTCTACCCATGACAGTTGTCAAGCGAGGAAGCAAGACACGGTGACCAGGTAGGTAGACCGTGGGGAGCGGTGAGTGCAGAGCCCTAGTGCCAGTGAGGCAGCCCCTCAAAGAGTGTTGGCTTGTGTGGCAAATTCAGTATACATTCCTGATAGAAAAGAGTTCTTGCCTAGTAGTTTCAACCACTCTCATACCAGTTTCATCGGCAAAGTATAAGAAAGCTGCAAAACGTTTCTTGTAAATAAGAGGATACTTGTTTCTCCATTATCTCTGGAAAACTTGTCTTCCAGTTAAATATTATCTCAGTAAATTATAAGGCTATCTGACCTAGTTTGGCACTGTGGGACATGCCCACAGTCTCTGATCTAAAGAAGCTTCCCATATGTTGCTTGGCTGGGCAAGGACTCTGTTACCTGCCCTTGTACCTTTTTTTTTTTTTTTTTAGAATTTTTTTTTTTTTTTTTTTTAATTTATTTGACAGAGAGAGACATAGCAAGAGAGGAAACACAAGCAGGGGGAGCAGGAGAGGGAGAAACAGGCTTCCTGCTGAGCAGGGAGCCCGATGCGGGGCTCGATCCCAGGACCCTGGGATCAGGACCTGAGCCGAAGGCAGACACTTAACGGCTGAGCCACCCAGGCGCCCCTACCCTTGTACCTTTTGAAGGAAGATGCCCAATGCTAGAGGTTAAGTAGGATCACTACAGAAAATTCCTTCATTGGTTTAAGATCTATCAGTCCTCCTTTTCTTTTGTTCTGAATAAAGGCAATAAATCTGTGAGAAGTGAGAAGAAATTACACCTTTGGGGTTCCTGGGAAAGTTTTAATTTTTATGAATATTACCTATTTTTCTACAGTAGAACTTTTTTCATAGTGTTGATAAAATTTAAAGAAGCGATATGTAAGAACTGCCTTGTATACTTCCAGGGGGCATGGAGTAGTGGAAATAGACCTGGCTTTGCAGCCTGATGTTGGGGTGTTTAAATGTAGACTCTGCTACCTCTACTCAGGAGGTCAGCGTGCTTATCACAGCCTTGCTTCTGCATCTGCAAGGCAAGAGTCGCCACGCCTACTTGGCAGAATTATTCTGAAGAGTAAAGACCATATTTACACACTTGCTCCCGCGGTGCCCTGCCTCGAGCAGGCCCTCTGCAGTCAGTCCTGTCATCAGTGTCATGGTCCGCGTGGTCGGCACTCTTGTCTTCATTGGAAAGGTGAGACGAATCCAGTAAAGGTCTTCAGGTGGCTTTGAGACTTCAGAGATTTCAGGAGCAATGGTGATCACCTCTTGAAAGTGTCACTTCAGATTTTCAGGGACATCGTTGCTAATAGCCACCCCCACCTTCCCATCTCTCGCAGTTGAGAATGAAAACCATTGTGATTTCGTGAAACTTCGGGAGATGCTGATCCGTGTGAACATGGAAGATTTGCGAGAGCAGACTCACACCCGCCATTATGAATTGTATCGGCGCTGTAAGCTCGAGGAGATGGGTTTCAAGGACACTGACCCTGACAGCAAGCCTTTCAGGTATGAGGGCACCTAGCAGTCAGCTGTTCTCCAGATAGTGGCTTGAGTGGTGTGTTGGTGCATCATGGAAATGCTTATTGGATTGGGGCGCCTGGGTGACTCAGTTAAGTGGCCGACTCTTGATTTCGGCTCGGGTTATGATCTCAGGGTTGTGAGATCCATCTCCACGTTGGGCTCCGTGGTCAGTGGGGAGTCTGCTTCAGGATTCTCACCCCCTGCCCTTCCCTCTGCATGGGCACAGGTGTGCGCGTGCAGATGCGCGCGCGCGCGCACACACACACACACACTCTCTATCTCTCTCTCAAATAAATAATCTTTCAAAAAAAGAAATGCTTGTTGGATTAAGATATCAGTGACAGAGGGACCTGGTGGGGACACCTTAGTAGCATAATTGCCAGGCATCGTGATCACCACTTTTTTGGCATTATCTCAACTACCCCATGTAGTTGCTGTCATTATCCTCCTCATTTACAGGCCAGGACACTAAGGTACGGAAAGTGTAAACAACCTCCCAGGGCCCTATAAGTAGGAAGTGAACCCCTGCTCTGAACCACTCTACTCGCAGAGGCACAGGGCCCAGCGCAGGCGTTTACCGAGTCATGGCCACTCACTTCAGCATGCCGCGCTCGTGGCTGCCGGCCAGGTCTCTCTTCCCAAGGCTCTTCCCAGCTCTCAGTGGTTCAGTACAATGCTAGCTACTAATGAGGAGGAAAGGGAATAACTTGTAGAAAATGTCTTGTGTATTTTCCCACATCATCGATGGATGGAGACCCAGAGGCCCAACGTGAAGGGGAGAATACTAAAATTAATGTAGACTTAGCAGCCTAGCAAAGGCCCCGTCCCTGTCAGAACCTGGTGGCGGGGGAGGGACGGCAGGGGCTGAGTACCTTGGCCACGGAGTGGTAAGGGCAGGTGGGGCTTCCGGGCCAGATTTACCACCTCCGGGCTCAGCAGAGGATTGGCTTTGTCGTTCCTGGGCCCACACAGCAGTCTTAATGGAGATTGCAGTTGAGGTGATGCGAGGTGTGTCTGGGCACAGAGTAGGGGCCGCAGTTCCTTGGAAGACACTTATTTCCTCCTCTGCTGCCTCTGTTTTTGGCATTTAAATTAAAATTCCTCCTGCAAGCCCAGGGTAAGTGCCCACCAGGAGGCGGCGTTGCTGGGCGGTTCCGGCTGGCTTCCGCAAGGCCTCCCTGACTTCCTGGGCTCTGGGACGGTGGCGGACGGCATCCAGGCCTTGATTTGTAGACAGTATGCTTTATTCACACATCTGCTGCTCCCCATTTGGTCTCGTTTCTTCTGGCCTAAGGTTTCTTTGTTTTGCTTTGTTTTGTTTTTATACCTCACTGTAATCTCACATTCATTTATTTTTTTTATTGAGGAATAATTAACCCACAGTATTAGTTTCAGACGTCCAACACAGTGCTTCAGTAATTCTAGGCAGTACTCAGTGCGCACCATGCGAAGTGTGGTCACCATACAACGTTAGTATAGTATCATTGACTGTGTTCCCTGTGGTGTACTTTCCATCGCTGTGACCGATTTATTTTACGACTGGTACAAACTTGATCTGTTTCTATCTTCTTTTATTTATATCCAGCGTCCTCTTTATTTCACCTATCACACCCTTGCCCCCACGACCACCAGTCTGTTCTTTGTATTTTAGAGTCTGGTTTTTGTTTGTTACTTTGTTCATTTGTTTTTGTTTCAAAGATTTATTTATTCACTTGAGAGAGGGAGAGAGAGAGAGAGAGAGAGAGCAAGCAGGAGGAGGGGCAGAGGGAGAGCAAGAGCGCACCGAGCACAGAGTCTGACTCGGAACCCGGTCCCACGAGCTGGGATCATGCCGAGCCGAAACCAAGAGTTGGACGCTTAACCGACTAAGCCACCCAGGTGCCCCAATTCCTCTGCCTTGTTTTTTAGATTCCACACATAAGTGAAATCACATGGCATTTGTCTTTCTCTGCCTGACTTATTTCACTTAGCATGAGTTCCATCCATCTTGTCATAAACAGCAAGATCTAATTCTTTTTTTATAGCTGGATAATATTCCATTGTGGGTATATGCCACATTTTCTTTGTCCATCCACTTATTGATGGATGCTTAGGTTGCTTCCCTATCTTGGCTTTTGTAAGTAATATTCAATAAACATAAGGTGCATACATCTTTTCAAATTAATATTTTTATTTTCTTTGGATAAATATCCAGTAGTACAATTGTTAGATTGTATGATATTTCTATTTTTAATTTTCTGAGGAACTGCCACACTTTTCCAGAGTGGCTGCACCAGTTTACATTTCCACCAGCAGTGTGTAAGGGTTTCCTCTTCTCCACATCCTCGCCAACACTAGTTATTTCTTGTCTTTTTGATACTAGCCATGAGGCAATATCTCATTGTGGTTTTGATTTACGTTTCCCTGATGATGAGCAATGTTGAGCATCTTTTCATGTGTCTGTTGGCCGTCTGCATGTCTTCTTTGGAAAAATGTTCAGATCCTCTGCCTATTTTTTAATTGGATTTTTTTGGTGTTGAGTCATATAAGTTCTTTATATAGTTTGGATATTAACCCCTTATCAGCTACCTCATTTGCACATATCTTCGCCATGCAATAGGTTGCCTTTTAGTTTTGTTGATGCTTTCCTTGGCTTTGCAAAAGCTTTTTATTTTGATGTAGTCCCAGTAGTTTATTTTTGCTTTTGTTTCCCTTGCCTGAGGAGACATAGCTAGAAAGAAAAAGCTGGAGGGATCACAATCCCAGATTTCAAGATATGTTTCAAAGCTGTAGTAATTGAAACTGTGGTCCTGGCACGAAAATACACAGAGAGATCAGTGGAACAGGATGGAGAGCCAGAAATAAACTCACACTCACATGGTCAGTTACTTTATGACAAAGGAGGCAGGAATATGCAACGGGGGAACGAGAGTCTCTTCAACAAATGGTGTTGGGAAAACTGGACAGCTACATGCAAAAGAATGAAACTGGACCACTTTCTTATACCATACACAAATATAAACTCAAAATGGATTGAAGACATAAATGTGAGAGCTGAAGCCATAAACTAGAAGAGACCACAGGCAGTTTCTCTGACATTGGCTATAGCAACATTTTGTGGACATGTCTCCTCAGGCAAGGGAAACAAAAGCAAAAATAAAGTATTGGGGGACTGAGGTTTCCTTTTTGATAATGAAAAGGGGGAATAGATTATAAATATACATCCAAAGCCTTTACTCTTTTCCCTATACAAAAAAAAAATAAGTAGAGAAAAGTAGACTTTCTGAAATACTTGCTATCATTTCAGTTACTGGGAACTCTGGAAATGGTTTGTCCATCGTTTAAACTCAGGTGTCCATCTTGGTGCAAGCAAGATCATTGGGAGCATCAAAACTGGCTTTGAATCAACTGACTTGGCAAATAGGAAGGTGAAATCAACTTGGTTTTCCATTTCTTGAGAACCACTACTTTAAAAGGGGCTCCGACTTTCCCTCTGAGGCATCTCCAGCATCCCCAGCACTTCCTATGAGCCTTGGACCACACTGAAGGGGGGGATGGCGGTGCAGTGAGGGGACCCTGCTTGAAAGATGACACAGTTAAGGAAAAGCAAAAACTGCAGCTGATTTGAGTGGCTTTCCAGAATTTCATCTAAAAAGTCCTCATTCCCGGATGCTCTTAGATTTTTTTCCATGGGAATTTTGGGTGAGCTGAGACGGGTGTAAGTATATTCTCAAAGCAGAGGCTTTCTGTGCAGGTGTACAATGAAGTCCATCCTTCCCTTTGAGCACCCTATGTCTACTCTTTGTCCTCCAAGCCCCTCTTGTGTTTATGAAGCAGACAGTGACCTCTAAAACCAAGGCTAGGGGGGCGCCTGGGTGGCTCAGTTGGTTAAGCGACTGCCTTCGGCTCGGGTCATGATCCTGGAGTCCCGGGATCGAGTCCTACATCGGGCTCCCTGCTCGGCAGGGAGTCTGCTTCTCCCTCTGACCCTCTTCCCTCTCATGCTCTCTATCTCTCGTTCTCTCTCTCTCAAATAAACAAATAAAATCTTTAAAAAAAAATAAATAAAACCAAGGCTAGGAAGGGGCAGCCATCACTCAAATATATGGTACAGTGTGAAGCAAAAACAGGGTGAACACAGTAACAGGCTGTATGAAAGCCTGGGAAGTACATGGGAGGCCGTAAAGCTGAGGTCGTCCCTGCTGGTGTCCTTGAATCTGCCTCAACTCAGAGTTGTCCTGTGGCAGAATCTCTGTATCTGTCTACGTACCTGTCCAGATGTCAGCTTGCTTTCCCCTGTGCCCATCTTTCCCACCTGCTGCCCTATAGCCTTCTGGACCTTCTCTGCACCCATGTCTCCCTTCCCCTGACCTCAGTCGCTTTGTGGCTAGTGTCTGGAGAAGAGGAGGGGGACATAGGACCCAAGTGGGGACCGCACCGATCTTGGTCCTGCTGCTTTTCTTCTGAGACACCATTGCCCTTTTCCCAACAGCTCCCGTCCAAACTGCCCATTCCTTATCTCAGAATACCCCCTTTTCCTGACTCAGGTCACGAAAAGGGCTTAGTAACCACCATTCTCTCAAGAGATCACAAAGTTTTCAGGTCCATGAGACCCATTTGTTTGAGGGGAACATGTAGACCTCGGTTCACCAGCTGTGCAGTGTAGTGGGTAGAACTCCTGTCTGAGCTTCTTCATTGTGTGACCTAGACAGATGACTAAACATTTGTATCCAGGTTTCTTCATCTAGGAAATGGGGGATAGTTAGTAATACCCACCTTACTGGGTTATTGTGAGGATTGATGAATTCTCATGTGTAAATTGCTTCGTAAACACTGGTGATGTGTTCTTCTGGGGCATGCCCTTCACCAGGTGGTTCCTGGGGATTGGAACAGAGAGAGAATTATGTTGTGTGAATTACCAGAATAAAGTCTGAACTGAACTACCTGTACTCAGTTCTCCTTCCCCTTGACTTCCGTGAGTGACACCTATCCCTGCCTAGGGCTGTTAAGAAAACGAGAAGAGGGGCGCCTGGGTGGCTCAGTCAGAGGAGCATGTGACCCCTAATGTCAGGGTTGTGAGTTCGAGCCCCACATTGGGTGTAGAGATTACTTAAAAATAAAACCTTAATTAAAAAAGTGAGAAAATGAGAAGATAGAATTTGTGGTTTCAATCCAGCTTAAAACCTCATGAAAAAATTGCATATTTCACACTGAGAAAAGGGTGTAAATAATTACAATTAAAAATTAAGTTGAAAGAGCTAAAAATTGCCAAAGACGTCATCCCGTTAGGGATCTGTGAGTGGATGACAGAACCAGTTCCTTCTCAACTGGTTTTTACTGACTGGAAGCATTAGTGAGGGTTTCTGGTGTCTCTCGTTTGCAACTCAACTGCCAGAGGCTTCTGGGGACTCTGACCCCATGAGTGTGTGGTTGTTCGAAGTCATTTCTCAGTATCTCTCTGTAGTTGTGACTCCTTGGAGTAGGGTCTTATGATTTCCTGAGTGTTGCTTATCATTTCCAGTGTCAGAGTTCAAAACCTGGTTCATATCCTAGGACACAGTGATGACCTGAGTAGCATTTGTGGAGACCGCTTTCCTGTTCTGGCCCGGATGGCTGAGGCTGCGCTGAGTCTCCTGGCCAAGCCTGTCTGGCCAGGCGTAGTGTTAGTTGATCACCTTTTTCGAGGACACGGGCTTTCTGACTTTGGGTGGCAACCTTCACTATAAATGGGTTCTGTATCATGATCCAGTATACAAATTTGGAAGTACAACTGCTCTTATTGTTTGCAGCACACTCTGGTATTTTCTATCCTATTCTGTTAAACTTTTTCATTTAACATATTGGTTAAGACCCTCACTTGGGTCATGACCCATAGCTTGAAAACGTATCTCCAGAAACCGGAGCATAAGTTAGGTTGTGGCTGGGACTGCATAAGACAAGAGTTATCGTGAGGGTTCTCGTATTCTAGGTAGCATTACTTAAAGTACATTCTCTCTGTGCGTTACTTAAAAAGTTTCCACGATTAAACAGTTTTGGGGAGCTCTAAGTTAATAAACAGGTTCTTGTATGTAAGGACTTTCAGAGCGTTTAAAACAAGCAGTGGTTGGCAGACGACTTACATCAGATCACCTGGAAGCATTTTAAAAATACAGATTATTTTGTCTTCGCCTGCCATCCTGAGTCAGCACTTCCAGGAGTGGGGTTAGGAAACTGTTGAAAAGTCCAATAAAACATGCCCAGGCCAACCTGACATGCTGCCGGGCTTGCGAGCCACCGTGCATTGTGACTCTCCCAACAGGAGACCTCAAAGAGCGTTTTCCCTTTACTCTTTTGCCTCAGGAACCCCTCTTCTGAAGATCTCTTGAAACTAGTGATCTCCAGAATACATGTTGGGCAGTGTTGCTGTAAAAGGTGTTCCCCTCTTTGTTAGAAAGAAGTGGGTGGTTATATTCATAATCATAAAGTATCCCTCAAAGTTTTGTACCAGGGACAGGTCATCTTCTGCCTTTGGCAGTTCTGATCTAGATAAAGGTGATAAAGAGTTCATTAGATGCTAACAAGCAAGATCAAATTCATGAATTCTATCAGTACATTTCTATATCTCTGTGGCTATAATTTAAGATTAAATTTCAAGTCCAAAGACTGCTATTAATATTAGCCAATGTCAACATTGGCCAAAATTGTTTTTGTTTCAAAAGATAATATGAAACTCTGGAAACCCAAAGTACTTGATTGTTCATTAACAGGTAGTGTTGAAATTCTTGAGGACAGGAGAACGTTTTTTTGTTTGTTTTTCTTTGAGAGAGAGTGCGCATGAGCATTGGGGGTAGGGGGAGTGCAGAGCAAGAGGGAGAGAATCTTAAGCAGCCTCCATGCCCAGCGCAGAGTCTGACTCAGGGCTCGATGACCTGAGCCGAAGTCGAGTCAGACAGCCAATTGATTGAGCCACCCAGACGCCCCAGGAGAACATATTTTTAATCAACCACTGAAAGTGTTGATTACAGAATTATAAGCAATCCTAATGAACACACTTTCTAATTGTTTACACGCATTGTAAATGTCCTGAATGTCCTTTTTCTCCTTCTAAAAGGACAAGCGTGGGTGCAGGGAGGTGGCTCTGCATGGTGGCCAGGGTTATCCACGGGTGCTCTCCAGTTTGGAGTCAGCACTTCGGATGAATTCAGTCCACGGGTAAAGGTGGATAATCCTGCAGACCTGTGTTACTGTAACAAGTCTTGTTCTAGGGGAAACTGCAAGGGAGAAATAGAAATAACACCTTATCAAATATCAGCAAGTGTTTCTCTGTTTGTGTAGGTGTGGATATGGGGGTGTGTTTTCTTAAGTTGTGTTACCAAAGGCAATTTTTCTGTCAATGTATTTGTTCTGACTTAGAGATAAAGCCGAGTCTCGCATTTGATTTAAAATATTGGGCTCAAAGTTCTGTAGAGAGTCAGGAGGTGGTTGGGGTTTAAGATAAAAATAAAACTCCTGCCTGCTCTATTTACAGTTGGTAATATAACTTGAAGTAGCAATTTTCTATAATATCTTTAGATATACCATTGTCTCTTTAGATGGTTCACTGAATCCATTTTCTGAATTGGGGACTGGCGGGAGGTGAAGGGGGAAAGGGTAGTATTTGCCGCAGAGGGTATGTCGAATGCTCTCCTCACTTTGCCCCCGTGTAACTCCCACACTCCTGTCCCTAGAAGGTAAATGCTGTTGTATCCACATCTTAGATAGAGAACACTGAAGCTTAGGGACTGTGCCCTTCCCAAGATCAGTCAGTAAGTTGCTGTGGCCAGAATCCAAACCCTGGCCCGTGTGGCTCCAGTGCCTTTGCATTCTCTCCCTACGCTATGCTGCCTTCGTCTCCTAAAAGTCTTTTACTTGGTTTCTGCCTTGTTTGCTGATCTGGAAGATACTGGCCAGCCCAACCCAGGCTTTCCCTGTGTGAAGATATACAGGGTAAACGTGGCCAGTAAGACATACCTGTAATGCTACGTCGCGCTTACTGACTCATCCCCGGTTCTCGATGTGCTTGTCTTTCTGGTCACTGCATAACTGAAAAGAAGATGGTGTGCCATTTTATGTGTCCTTTAACATAGTAAGTGGCAGCCTCATCTATTTTTTTGGGAGCAATGAGTAGAAACTATATGAGCTGAAATTTCCTGTTCAACTTCACAACACTCTCCTTGTCTTGTGGCTTTTGAATAGTCTTCAGGAGACTTACGAAGCGAAAAGAAATGAATTTCTGGGAGAACTTCAGAAGAAAGAAGAAGAAATGAGGCAAATGTTTGTGATGAGAGTGAAGGAGAAAGAAGCTGAACTTAAAGAGGCAGAGAAAGAGGTAAGCCATCTGTCTTCCTTCGAGGCAGAGACAAATAAGCGAGGTGTGTTATTAATACGTCACATTTTCTAGAACTTCATCCTCTCCTGAGTACTTTCTACGTGTATCTTATCATGTGAGCAGTAGACTAACATGGTAAGGAAAGCAGGTCAGGTGTTCTTATCCCCATTTTACAGATGATAAAACTGAGAGGCCTGGAGGTTAAATGATTTCTGTAGTCACATACCTAGTAAGTAGCAGAGCCGAAACTAAAACTAGACCTTAGGTCTCCAGGTGTGGTCCCGTGTTCTCTGTAGCTCCGTATTTCCTCAATTTGTAAGTCTCCGCAACGTTAAGATTTGGGATTCTGGGACCATGATTATTATTATTGTCGTCTGTCAGCCAGCTCGGTGAGGTAAACGGTGGAGGGGCCCTTTGCGGGCATGTACTTGCTGCTCCGGTGTCCTTGTGCCTGCCTGTCATTGCCCGTGACCAGGCCACATTAACTGCTTCCTAGAAGCTGACGTGGATTTCTGCTATAGCACTCATCCCATCGAGACAGAGAGAGAGAGAGAGAGAGAGAGAGGGAGGGAGGGAGAGAGAGTGGGAGGGAGAGAGAGTAACTTATTTGTCTCTGATGTTAGATAATATCTCAAGTGCATATCTCAAGTGCTTGAACTATAGCTCTGCACGTTTCCAAATTGTCTACATAATTTCCTCATCATTCCCTTTGAATTTATCTTTATAAAGACTACTGAAATTTAGTGGTTAAATAGCTAAGCACTCAATAGAGTTTGGTGCAGAGAAAGGAAAGTTGATCCTTATCTGTTGTTGGCTATAAGTACCAAGTGGATGCTGGATAAAAATCTAAAATTAGTAAGAGTTTTTTTCTTAATTCTTTCTGTCCTTCCTTCCTCCCTGCTGTTGTTTCTGCCTCGTGATAACTTTCTAAATTCAATTTGTCGAGAAATTTGCGAGAAACCTCCCAACAGATTCTTACTCTTTGAATAGCCTATATCCTCTGTAGTCACCGCGGGTGTCTATAAGTAAATGTATATTACACATTTTGAAAAAGGACCAGAAATAAAGAACTACTCTTACCACTCGGGTAAATTGCTAATTAGGAGCGTGGATAATTCTTTTTCTTCTTTGTGCTTCTTACAAGGAATATGTATTTTATTGTCAGTAAGAATGAACAGGATCCCCTTCAGCGCCAGGGCGTCCAAGTCGCAGAGGCGCGTAGTAGGGCTCCCCCTGCTGCGCTTTGCCAGATGGTGCTGCCCTCGCAGGACTGCCACGGCTGCGGCAGCACGGAGCATGCTTTGATTTGGAGCGGGTCCGCGCGACCTGCAGCAGTAACTTTCCGCTCCCTTCACCCAGCTTGCCCTCCTCTTTCCCTCTGCAGCTCCATGAGAAGTTTGACCTCCTGAAGCGGACACACCAAGAAGAGAAGAAGAAAGTGGAAGACAAGAAGAAGGAGCTGGAGGAGGAAGTGAACAGTTTCCAGAAGAAGAAAGCAGCCGCTCAGCTACTACAGTCCCAGGCACAGCAGTCTGGGGCCCAGCAAACCAAGAAAGACAAGGATAAGAAAAAGTAAGCGGGTGTCCCCCCATGCTTCGGGGCCCTCTAACAATTTATTCCTCTTGCATGTGTCTACTTTTCCCATTGACAGACTGGAAACTGGTCTGTTACCAGAAAGATAAAAGCAAGTCTTTTCTCTACAGTGCAGGGAAGATGATACAGGTTTTTAAAGTATTTGTAAAGGGTACACAAACATTAATTTATAAAACTTGACCACACGACCAAGCAATCAGGGCTGGAGGAACCTGCCGTCTCCAGTGGCATCTTCTGCACCAACACTAGGACTCTGGAGAAGACAGTCTATTTCTCTTCACTACTCTCTGGAGACAATCCTCATGACTCTTGGTGAAGGGCATCCTAAAATGATGATCGTTAAGATTTTTCTCTTCTGTGTTGCGAGGCCTGATCCAGCCAGTCACGGGAAGTCTTGTCTCCAAAGTGGGAGATTGGGACAAACTGCTAGTGGCCACCTAGTTTCCCCCTAAATTCAACGAGATGGTGAACCGTTTCACTGTGGAAATGGGAGCAAAATACCCTTTCCATTAAGACACCCCACCCATCCTCAGAGCACACAAAAGAATATTCTAAGCTGTGGCCTTGATTGAAGGTGCCAAAGGGTCAGGTTCTGCTCTTCAGTTATTCACTTCCTAGCCTGACTGCAGTAGCGGCCGCCTGAGTCCGGTGGGAGAGTCGGGCCTGCCTTGAAATTCTCTCGTGATTTGAAGTGCTGCATCAGATCACCTTCATGACTAGAGAATGCAGTGTGAGGACGATCGCTGCCGGGTTGACAGTAAGCACAGTGGGCGGTACGATCCCTTCTAGGAATACCCTTGTGGTGCCCGGATGGCAAGCCCACGGGCGCTGCCCTCCTGCGTCTGTTGAGCGTGCGGTGCTCTCAGGGCAGTGATACGGCAGCTCAGGGTGTGTTTCAGGATCCCTACTCTTTACCCTCAGGTGCCAGGGTTTTAGGGGAAAAGCTGACAGTTAAGTAAACGGTAAAGCTTTTGGTGGTCAACTAGGCAGAGAATTAAATCCTGCAGAGTAGCGCAGATTGGAGTGGATCTGCACAGCAGTTGAGACCCATCACAGGGGGAGGGGGTGAGCACGCACACTCACCCCTGCCGAGTCTCCTCACGTTGCCTATGGCAGAAATCACAGTGCACTACTATGGGGACGCACGGAGAGGTTTTAAATTCTACCTTACAAACTTGGACTTTCCAAGCTCTGAGACAGCAGAAAACGTGTCAAGAGAGCAAAGAAGTAAGCACATTTTCTAAGCATTGGAAAGCAGTTGGTGCAGGTGTGGTGTGATTTTAATGGGGTTGGTACAGACCCGAGGGATCAAGGGCTCCAAGGGCTGAAACCTTAGTTATGCCAGATTGAGTCTGAGTGTAACAACTGCCTGGATTATAATCCAGTTCCAGAAATCACTTTGTGCTGTGCATGTCGGGAGAGCAGCCGTCACTCCGGTGACATTCCCCGCACAAAGATTCAGAGATTCGTGACTCTTCCAGTGAAGATGAAAGGGAAGTCATTTGGCATCATACCCTTGTTGATCCTAACTAACCCAAGATAAAAATGTGTGTGTGTGTGTGTGGGTGTGGGTGTGGGTGTGGGTGTGTGAGTGGGTGCACGCACGCGTGGGTCCACATCCATAGGAATGGATGACACAGAAAAAGCTGCTGACTCACAGCTTAGGAAACCCAAAGTCAAGTTTTTCTTACCCTGAAGCACTAATGTTCATAAAGGTACATGTTTTAGAACTAAAGATGTTTATAAAAGGCCAGCAACGTTCCAAGGATGTTTCCCGTTGCCTGGATGTGCCTTTAAAGCAACACAAGTTCCACGAGCTGATCCGCACTGTGCCTCTGTTGGACGAAAGTCTATGTAGTGACAGACTTCCCCAGGTAGGGAGGTTTCTCCTTGCCCTTTTGATCATTTTAGGTTATTTTTGTCCCAACCTTGGGCCTTAGCAATGTATAATGCTTTTCATGTTTACATGAAGTATGTGTAAATTCTATTTTAGCCTTATTTATACATTCTCATGTATTATTAATAGAATTGGACTTCATCTGGTGCACAAGTAGTGACCAGGGTTTGTACCTGACAATGGCACATATTTTTTTGGTAGGTTCTTAACCTTTTCTACAACTTTCCCATAACACTGAAAGCAACTGCCAGTCACAGAGCTGAGGTGTAAAGTTAAAGAGCCCCCCTCTCCCTCCCCCGCCCCCGCCCCTTAGGGCCCCGTGAGAGTTTGGGCTAGAGATGACACAGAAAGTCACCAGGCAGCACTTTGAAAACAAACGGGAGACTCTTGGCCTCTTCACGTAGCCAGAGAGATGCGGGGGTCACCATACGTGTCCCTTAGGAGTTGGCTTTGTTTCAGGGAGAAAATTGTTCCAAAAAGAGATGCTTATGTAGGCACTTGCTATGCTTCCACCTGGAAAATGAACTTAGTGTTTCTAATAGTTCTAAATTGTTTTTCTATTCTAATGACACGCTCCCTTTTTAACGTAGGTAAAGCTTTATGCTTCTTGCCCCGTAGTGGCCTGAAAGCCCATAGCATTTCCTAAGGTGACAGGCAGAGTCGAGCCGGCCCCGCCTCCTGCCCTCCCTGGCCTCCCCGGCCTCCTGCCTCCTGCCCCTCCCCGGCCGGCAGGGCGCCGTCCTTGTTCGTGGCGGCCACGGGGCGGCCCTGCCCGGGGTAAGTTGTTCAGTGGACAGCGTTCTTCCTTTCCGAAAACTCTGCACCGTTGCCAGGAGGCCTGGGTGGTGACGCTTCATCCATCCCGAGAGGTCTTAAAATCCATCGTTTTAAAATGGTCCCCGGCATCCGATAACTACAGTTTATACGGTCATCCGCTCCTGTTTACTTTTGATCCTCGCTGAGGAACGAGGTTGCACGGTGCGGACGCGCCTAAAGTGAGGCTTGCGGCTCTCGGATGGGGTGTTGCACTCCACCTGGGCGAGGGGGCGCCCCCGCGCGGCGGCAGCCGGAACCGCGGCGGGATGGGCCCGCTCCCCTTCCCAAGTACGTCATAGCATGTCCTCCGCCCACTGTACTCCAGTCCCCGAGCTAACTGCTCAGAGACGTTATTGTAGATTTATTCTCTGACTCCAGCCACTCAGAAATGGAAAGATGCAGCTCCTCTTCAGCACCGATGTGATGCCCAAATCTAATAGATAATGTTTTATGTTATTTGAGAAAATGAAAATCAAACAGTAAACCCTTCTACGATAACATGGAGTGGTTTCAAGAAGTCACTCATAAATTCTAAATTACATGCAAATGGAAACTAACCATGTGTTCTTTAATTCAGTATTAAAATTTTGCTTTTGCTTGTCATGTAGAGTAGCTTACTCAGATTCGTGGTTTTAATTTCTGTCAATTCCATCATCATTGCATGAGCATTCACCATCACCGAATGCTGGTGCTGGCGCTCCTAATTTTCCTTTCTTTTTTATTTATTATTATTTCTAACTTTTTTGTTTTGTTTTTTAACTTGCAGTGCAAGCTTCACATAAAGCCTGGCAAGCCAAGGATGGTCCCGCATTCACCTGCTTTTGCAGTAATATTGTATCTCTGCCATCTGTGTCCTTTTGTTTTATTTTATTTTATTTTTTTTTACCCTTCCCCAGACACCAATAACTATTAACTCATTTTGCTGACTATTGTTGGGTAGTGGAAAATGATAGAGCAAGAGAGTAACACCAAAAGCTATGTGCAGCTGGACTTTGTTTCTGGAAAGCAGATGATTGGCCTTTTATGCCTGTTCGGAGTGGCAGCAGGAAGCAGGCCTGTGGCTTGTATGTTGCTTTGGACCGAGGGATGGAGGGTCAATGGCTCCATGTCCGTCTGTTGGGAGAACTCACCGCTTCAGCCGCTGAACTATAACCCCGAATACCCAGGACAACAGTTTGTTTTTCTTGATTTCTCATCTCCATGGGGGCAGAAGCCCTGAACTCCCTCTGCCTCTTCTCCATACCTGCCCCAAACCAAGGTAGCTTCCTACGTAGGCAGAATGGTGGGTCAGCTTTTTAGGACTTTTGCATTTGTGTGGATTTTTCATTATTATAATAACATTATTTGACCTGTGTTGTGGTTCTCCTCAGACCGTACCCTCTTACGGCTTTAAAAATGTGCCTGAACCCCCCTCTCCCCAGTCCTGGCCAAGTTGGACCGTAATGAGAAAGCTGATTATGTTCGCTTCTATCAGCACAACCTTGACGCTGTCCTAGTCAGCGATCTTGAACGTCAGGGCATGTAACATGGCCTCATAGAAGCATCCTCCGCTAAAGATGGTAGGCTTTCCACAGCCTCCCTACTGCTTACAATAAGCATTCTTTCATACTCTCCATGGGCAATGGCCGATTCTAGGACATCAGTACTTCTAATGATACTTTTCAGTAATCATGAGGAGAAAATTTGTTATCAACTGTATATCATCTGCAGCCCCAATTCTGAGAGGGGACCTCATCGGTTTCCGGTAGGAATGGGGAGGAAGGTAACACAAACCCACGAGTGGAGAAGGTAGAAGTTCAGCTGACATCCAGCTTCCTTGCATAGTCTCCTTCTCATATATGGCAGGAAAGGGAAGAAGAAATAGAACAGCTAGTCTTTCAAATCCAGTTGTCTTGAAGGAATCCTCTCACCTTTTCCCTCACCCCAACTAGCGCTACGAGCCCATTGCCCCATCAGCAAGGATTAGGGCCGACCCATAGGCCATGACCCGCACTCCATACCACATTTGTGTGGGAGGGGGCGCATTTCATCCCTTTTCTGTACTGTTCCTTTGTGAGGCTTACCCTTTCATCTTCTTGATTTTTCTCCCCTCTACTAACAAGAGCCTCCCACCTTCTAACTCTGTAGTCTCCTGTTTCTTACCTGAAAGAATAATATTTCTCCTGAACTCCACCTCTCGCTTCCTCCTGGCCTTCACTAGTCATACATTAGGTAAATAGGATAGAGTATACTCTGTCTCCCTGACCAACACACGCGTACCTTTTTTTTTTTTTTAATAAGTCTCTAGTTGATTCCAATAAAGTCTTTTTCCCTTCTTTTCATCCTCAAACCATACTTTTAGGGGAAACAAGTTATGGTCTCCCATGAACTGATGTGGGCCTAATTAGGTGAAGTAAAGATTGTTTCACTGAAGGCCAAACCAGGCTGGGCTAGAACCTGAAGACTGGAAGCCGCAGTGGTGGTATAAAGACAGGCTTAGGAGCTACTGGACTAATGTTTTTGTTTTGTTTTGTTTTTTAATGATTCTAGTCCAAAGCTAGCTGTGGAGCAGCCAAATACTAGACGGCATGCCGATTTCTAACCGTGGCTGAATTTGCTCATACGCTGTGCGCCAGACAAAAGCTTGAATACTCGTGTTGTATGCTTGTTCCAACTGCTGCTTGTGTGAGCATTTTTGTGCCTTGTAACAGAAAATATACTTGTAAGTTCAAAAAACGGTCACCTTAAAATTATCATTTTTAATGCATCACTAAAGCCTTTTTGACAGTGAGCCTAGCTGCAAAAGGCATCCAGCTGACTTTTTGATTCCAAGATTGTTGATTGATTGATTTTTTTCTCCCCCATGAAAATTTTCACAACAAAATAAACCATATGGAGAGTCAGGGAATAAAAAATCAAAAGAAAGTTCTAGAAGCTCTTTTTTTTTTTTTAACATGTTGCTTCTGAACTCTTTTTCTACCCCCCACTCCCTGGCCCTGTTTGGTTTGTTGTTGCTGCCCTTCTCTTCTTTCTGTATCTGTGCCTTTTTTCACAGTAGTCCTTGGCTCTGCACCGAATAAATGATACCCTCAAATCTAATTGGATGTGCTTTCGCCTTTGCATGTAAGTACAGTAGTAAGAAAACTTTGAGATCTTTCTGACTTTTTAAAATTAGAGAAACAAATGGGATAGATGGGTTCTCCCCCCACCCTTTTTTGGAGGGAGGTAGGGAGGTATTGGTTTGAGTAGCCTTTGTTTATTAAGAAATAAAGAAAACACTAAATATATTTAAAATGGCCACATTTGTACCTTTCCCACAATAAATACAAATTCAGCTTTTCCTTGATACCAATATGGGAGTCAGAAATTGTTGTTCCCAGGCTGCATTCCACACAGCCTTGTGGGCATCACTGGATATTACAGAGGGTCCTTGGTTCTGACTATGGAGTAAAGCTAGACTAAGAAACTACCACCTTCCTTTGGAGAAAACCAAGAGGGAAATATTTTTTATGTTAGGTTGCCTTTATGACTGCTTAATTTTTTGCTGATCTTGGTTTAATTGTCTTTCCCTCCTGCTAACTGCTGGCAGTGAACACACCTTTTTTTTTTTTTTTTTTGCCAGACAGTTCTAGCTGGCCTCTCCCCGTATCTTCTGTTCAACCATAATGACCATTGCTTCTGGATTTTAGGTCCCTATAATGTTTGTATGTACAGTAGGATGATGGAAAAGCATTTACGAGAATTTACTGGCAGTTAGAGACTATGTTTTCCCAGCTTAGGCTCCTTATTAATTGGTCAAAGTTTTGTCCAGAAAGGGCATCTCAACCAGGGGAACATTTAATGTCACATTGGGCACAGGTTACTTATTATCTTCCTTCTCTGCTTTGTAATCTCACCAGCAATTACACTTATTCTTCATATCTTGTGCACCTCAAACGAATGGACTGGGTTTCTTCACTTTCTTGACATTACCCCTAAGTGTTTCACATCCAGACTGTTGAATCTGGGTTTCAGCTGTTAACCAACCCATGTCATACTGTGTGTGTGTGGTCCTTCCAAACCGTCCTTTCAGATCCCTCTGCTTTGCCATCTGCAAGTGTCTGAAATTGTCAATTCTCAGCTTCCAGAAGTCTTGGTTCCACTGACAGGATACATATGTGATGACTCTTTAGTGGAAATTATGACCTACAAAGTCTAGATTGTATGTAGGTATGAAGGGAATTTTTTAAATAAATGAAAAGCTGTGAACAGCATTAGAACTTTGTCTATTTCTTAATTTTAAAATATGCTGATATGCCTTAAACTGTAGTTGTAGATCATTGTCATTTTGCTGTTTGAAAATAACCAATGTGTTTCTAAAAGTGTTGTGTAATCTACTCTTGGTGTTAATGCAGAATTGTCATATATGTAAGCTGCATGTTAGACACTTGTCTTTTTTAAAAACTAAAATAATTGTATTGATATGAAGTCTATCATTTTTTTCAAGTGAGGAAGTAATCACGTAGCCACCTTGCTCAGTAATTTGGTGTCTGTTAAGGTAGGAGAGCGGTGGACAGGTAATCTATGCATATATCACTAGTGCCAAGACACAACGTGGGGGAAAATATATTTTTACCCAAACAATGTGTGCCCTCTTGTGAGTTCTTTTTAGTCACTGTTTGGTATGCATATGTACATGTGATTCTTGTATTGGATAAAAGAAATAGGAATGAAAGAGTCTCATGCTTTCCTGCCTTGTCTGGGGGATTTCAAACGCTCCCAAGTGGGCAGCAGCACCTGCTCCGAGATCCTTGCCGTGCGGTGTCCTGTACGTCACATGTGGTCTCTGCCTCCCTTTCTCCCCCATTCCCACCCCCTCCTGTCCCGACTGTTGTCCCTGGCGCCACCCCACCCCTGGGCCCAGCGGAGGTAGGCACCTCTTGCCCGGCCTCTGGCGTCTGCGCTGCCAGGGCTGCTCACACCTGGCTGTGCTCACGGAAGTCAGCCTTCTAACTGACACACTGCTGTTCTTCCCCAGTTGTTGTAGAAAAGCTCTTTTTTTTTTTTTTTTAACTTTAAGAATCAAATTTGAATCTGAATCTTTCTTTTTTCTCCTCTGTAGCTTCTTCTTTATGTAGCCATCCTGTTGACAAGCCCTACTCCCCCCTAATGGACATAGAGCATTAGAAGAGCAGGAGTGTCTGTTCACGCGTGCTGGGGAAGAGTTACCTCATTTCCACCATCGCCTCCTATTCTTTTAAAGTCCGGGTCAATTCCTGCCTTGCTGTTTGTATTTGTCAATGTCTGTTTACAAACCACTGCCCATAGTGGTTACTAAGGTGACTTTTCACTACCAAAAACAGTAATACTTAATAATGCTTAAAAGGAAATTCAGTGAAAGAGAACTTGGGCCAAGACCCAGGGTAGCCATGTGTTGGGATCCTCTTGCTTAGCTGTCATGTTCTTGAAGCTGCGGATCCGAGAACTCACGGACTGAAGACAGCACATACCCTACTCTGAGGTGGTCAGCACCTCCAGGGTCCACAAACTCGATCTCATGTTAACTCCAGACCTCTCTGTCCCATGCGTGACATTCTGAACAGCCCCATCGGGACCCTCAACCATCAATCAGGTCATAAGATCTGGGCAACATTCTCCTTCCTTTTGTTAGTTTTTATGGGTTGTTTTGGAGTTTGGGATTTTTTTTTTTTTTTGACTTTTGATATTGCATGAACAGAGATGGCTACAATTTTTTTATTTGGAGTGTTCTATTGATGCAATGTTTTTATTTTTCAGCTGACCATCCGCCTCTTGAGAGAGAGAAGTGGGCATCCTTCCTTTAAATTCAGGAACCATTGTTGTTTTATTTAACTCTTTTTCTGTGACCTGCATCCCTTATATAAGTTGTTTTGGGTTTGGGATTCTGTTTTGGGGAAAAAAAATTTTTTTCCAGTTAGCCAGTTCTGTTTTATGTATTGGTTACTCAAACTTAGTTTGGTATCAAAATTATGCCAGTTTTAAGTTCAAGAGGAAATTTAAGTGAAGTTTTAGTCACAGAATTCTGTTTAAGAATCTCTCCTCATCTCAGATACAACCAAAAAAATCCCTCTGCTGTCACTGGGGTTTTGACCTATAAGTCTTAATCATGTTTAAAATGTGTCAGTGTTGGGTAGAGGACTTTTCTGCCTCTAGGACTGAATTTATACTTAAAGGTACCTTAAAAATAACTTTCTGGCCCATCCCTGCCTTTTTATTTATTGGGAAGCTGTGCTTTACCTTGTTTCCAGAGTTTTTGTATCCCGGACCATGGGAACAAACCCAAGGGAAGTATATAACCTGTCCCAGACAATAGCATCATTACAATGGTTCTGCTCCACATTGTCTTCTCAGTTACCCGTGTGGCTTTCTCTACCATGTCTGTGAAAAATAAATTTGCTGTAATTCACTTAAAATACACCCAATGTACAAACACACACACTTCTGGCAGTTGAGGCTGTGATTTTTAATGTTGACCCATTTGTGAGGGACTGGATCAATGCAGGGCTATTGTTAACTTTAGTCACCTCTTAGGGGCAGTTTTCATAACCAAGGGATGACTTTCATTCAAATTCAGTTCTATTTTAGAGCATGAACATGCATTTTAAGTTACCTTATAATTCCATTACTTGTCGATAGTCTTTGCTTCTTTCCATCATTTTTCAACCTCATATTAGGAAGACCCTAAAATTACTCTTGGTGGCATGGGTCGTGTTCGGTAGAGATCCTTAGGAGTGTTCCCCTCTGAGAATGGTAACATCTGCTTCCGCTGAAAGGTGAAATGATGAAGCAACAGTCCCTGCCTCTTGAGTCACTTGCTTCTTGGAAAGAGGTCATTTAGAGCAATTGGATGAGCTCTGCTGGCAAGAGGCTTTCTTAGAAAGATATGTAATTAAATGCAATAAAGTCAGGTTCATCTGAGCCATTAAATGCTCAAATGCTCAGAAGCGTCAAGAGCCATCCCTTCCACATTACACTATAATCGGTAAAGGTCTAAGTCTGCTAGTGACGTCACCGGTGGCTTGGGGGCGGACGGGGTGGGTACCAACTCCCAACCAACGCCGAAGTGCGAGGTATCAGTTTTGTAAGTCAAACACAAACACCCTTCTGTGTGAAACCACTGTAAGCACTAAGTACAATCATTGGATTAATTTTTAGTATTTTAATATGAACTTAACCCCATCAACTCATTTTAAAAACAAATTCTGCATCAGGTTGTAAAGACATGTTTTGAGCAATATTTAAAAATCAAACCAGGCACTTTTTTTTAAGTAGAGAAATGTGTATTGTTGCTATTCCCTTTTATTCCCCCATTTTGGCCAGGTTGGAGGAAGTGTGGGGGAACAGGTTACTGTAGGTAGGTTGACCTCTGTTCAACTACCCAGGGAAAGCTGATCATGGACACCACCGGTCAAGTGCACTGTCCTCCCTGTTAAGATCTGGCATTTTACTTCGGGTGGTTCCTTTTCTCAAGTGTTGATAAAACTGATCAGTTCTCGAGTTCTCCTGGCTGACCAACTAAGAGCTGTGAAACCATCCCAGGGCTAATTATCATCAATAGTAATGATTTGCTTATCCCAAGCTAGACTGTGGTGGAAAAGAAAAGCAAGAACTGAGTCATCTGAACCCATTTCCGTGGGTAATGGGCCTTTTATTTTTCATTCAGTCTTTTAAAAAGTATTACTGGATTTCAGATATAGACTGCCTATTGCCTTGCGACAAGTGTAGTCTAGACGGTCTCCTTGAGATTGGCACAGCACGTGTATAAAGGAGAGGTCTTCTGAATCAGCATCTGCTGAGCTGGTGGGGCAGAAAAAAATCAGGTCATCTTCCCAATATGCTTGGCCAAAGTTTTCCCCCCATTTTCCCATCAACTGTATCTGTAACATGAAACTTCCTTCCTAGTGAATGATGGTTTTTGCCTATTGGCCCAGCTTATTAGTAAACAGTTGTGGATATCTGAAAAAGTCAGTACATAATTTTCACTGTATTCAAATGATTTTTCTACACAAAACCTTTTGCTTTGCAGATGACTGTCCTCTTTCCACCCTGGAGACTGACAGTGATGTCAGTGTGGATCACTTTGAAGATCCTTATACTTGAGTCCTTAGGACCATGGCATCTTGTCCTTGTGATGGACACCATCTGGCTTTCAGATCAGTTTCTAGCAAGTAGCTGAAACTCTCCCCTGGCCGGTGAAGGGATTTAGTGTCAATTTGAAAAGACTAATTGTGAGCCTTCGTATCCACTCACCTCCCTTTGCAGCATCCTAGTCTAACAAGTAGCTGTACACAAGCCAGACCTCTCGGTGGCCAGTGGAACAGTGAGGCACAAAGGGAGATCTCACGTCTGCCCCCAACCACTTACCTGCAGTGCTGTGAGTGGAATGGCATTTTGGCTCCACTGTGGAAACTTTCAAAACTACAGCGCTTAGATCAGAGGTGGCAGAGGCTATTATAATGAGGTTGGTCCCTGCCCCCCCCCCCCAGACACACAAAGTGTGCATGGGGAAGGGAGCACAGAGTAACAAGCTAGAGTTCGGCTCAACCGAGCATTCTCTGTACAATGCTTTCAGAACTGTGAAGGTGCTGTTCTAGCTCTCCTTGCCCTTTATTTACATCCATCCATCCACCTTCCCCACCCTCTGCCTCTCCCCCTTTCCAAATACTTCATTCTCTATACTGTACCAGGCCTACGTTAGATGCTGGGGATGTAGCCAAACACTACCTCATGAACACAGCAAATTTTTGGAGCAAAAGAAAAGGTAAGCCCTTTCTATGCTAAATTGCTAAAGACAGATTGTATTCTGAAAAGTAAAAGCCCTCTCCTCCCACCTTGCCCAAATTGCTTTTCAGTGGTTGCTTGCTTAAGGTTGCCCTTCATTCTAGAGTGTCTTCTTGCCTAACAAAACAGTTCGTGAGAAATGAGAAACCAGTTCACTGGGCCTATACTGTTTTACTACCCTACTGTCGTGTAACACAGTAAGATCAACAATTCTAGCATTTGACACGCTAGGAAGATTGTACTTTACAGTCAAGAGAAAGGGAGTTTTTCCCATTTTATCCTTAACTCAGAAGCTCCTGAGAACTAAAAAAAACAAGTTGTGAGCTTTTCCCAAATTTCTCTGGTAAGACATTCTTGGTTACCTCTTATTATGCCTTTTCAATAATGCAGAGATGGCAAGAGGGAGGTCTTTGTCTTACCCATGGGTCTTAGGCATAATAGTATGTCATAAAAACCACTAAGCTCCTCATTATGGGGAGTGAAAGCTTTTAATTCCTTGATACAACCTATGCTGTTTAAGCCTGTACTTCATCTTTTCTGTCTGAACGAATTAGGTCAAATCCAACTCAAACTGAAAGCAGCAAGGTTTGGGGACTTGGAAACTAATCTTCTCAATTGCATTTCTAGGTTATGTTGCAGGACTAGACAACTCAAGAAAAATTAGGATTAGTTTTGTAAAACTGGTTCTGTTTTTGTGTTTGGTGTGAGACCTATCTGGACACAATCTGCCCCATACCTCAGCAGATCTTGCTCATTTGCCCTGAGTCCCAAATACACAGGTCCCCTGTGCCTTAAATGATGTGAATTTGTAACTGCAAATGATGTTAACGTTTGGCAACAAGAGACAAGTGTTCAAATGCTCATTCTCATACAGTAAGCCTAAGTAATTCAATTTTTCCTAGAAACTTAAAAAGATGCTTTATTTTCCTAGAAGCACCATCTAGTGGCCAAAGCTCAAAACATTAATATGGGGCATAGATAGGAGACCTCCTCCTAGTAACAAAGGCTAATTTCTAGAATTTTGGAGGCTTCAGAATTAACAATTTAAAGTTAGACAAAACTTCACATTGGCAAATATAAAGGGGTAAAAATTCTTAGCTATGTGGCATTAGACAGTTCTCTAATGCTCAACTTGCTAATGCAGACCAGGGATACGATCTTTCAGGATGGTTATGAGAGCAGATGGCACAATATCTTCCTTCCCTTTCCAGCTGAAAACGTACAAATTACCATAAGGATGACGATAAGCTCCTCACCATGTTGGCCAAGAATCAGCAGCTTAATCATACCGTTAAGTGAAAGGCCACTGTGGTGCTCTGGGCAGTAATGCTCAAGCATGACTGACTTTATTTCAGGAACTCCGGAAAGAGAAAATTAGGAAACTTAAAATCCAGGTATGTAGAGTACAGAGGACACACATACATGTTGTTTCTAACACTGGAGAAAAGAAATGCTGCTGTTAGGGGGCAGACACCAGTGTCTTTAATTCCCTCAACGGCAGAAATGTTAAGCTCAGTCTCATCAGCTGGGCTGAGTGAAGTGCTAAGCTCTAGCTAGCTTCCTTCAAGACAAAGGCTGTGTCAGGAACATTTCCAACAAATCGGTTTTATCTTTTTATTGGCATTTGGGAGCACTACCCCCTTCTCGGTCCTTCCCTCCTCCCCCACATTAATCAATCCTCTGTAGAAAAGATATTCAGTTCTCCACAGATAACTTTGAATGAAAAATATTTAGCTGCTTCACTAAAGTTCATCTTCAAGAGTCAGAGGATGCACTTTTTCTTTTAAAATGGAAGATTAGAGCATAACTAGTTTATGCCCAATCATCAAGTTTATTCCCTTGCCTTTGTGGAGGCTTCATGGAATGATAGGCTTTGTAAGCATCAGGAAACACCAGACAATTACCGATAAAGTTCAAGTTTCCAAATCTTGGAATAGTTTAGTTTGTGATGTGATGCCAGGACTGGCATGCTCTCACAAACTGTTCCATCAGATGAAAACTTAAGATTTGGAAGGTGAGAAAAGGACATAAAAGAAAAACTCTTGTCAAAACCTACATTCCTCAGTCACACTTAAATCCCCTTTTCCTAAGTTTTATTTTCTTTGGGCATATAATTAGGATTTTTATCATTTCTGTAGTTGAAATAGCAGTGTCTAGCAATCAGGAATTTGTACCACTTTGCAAGCAGAAAAAAGTTAAAGATAACAAAGGTTAAGGACAACTTTTATTGCTACCAGAGGCTTTTTATCATCAGTACATGGTTCTGACTGCAATACCTTCTTCAGACTGCACAAGGAGCTCAGGATCCAGAAGTCATTAAGAGAAATACAGGTAGGGTGAGTAACTTTCATCAAGAAAATACTAATAGCTTAACATAAATCTAGGGTACTGAATTCAGTTATTA